CCTCTTATATAGTGTGTGCATTCTACCAATGACAACATCACGCACTGATTTAACCCGCTCTGAAAGACATTCAGCAGTTTCCTCTTATTCAGTGTGTGCATTCTACCAATGACAACATCACGCACCGATTTAACCCACTCTGAAAGACATTCAGCAGTTTCCTCTTATTTAGTGTGTGCATTCTACCAATGACAACATCACGCACTTATTTAACCTGCTCTGAAAGACATTCAGCAGTTTCCTCTTATTTAGTGTGTGCATTCTACCAATGACAACATCACGCACTGATTTAACCGACTCTGAAAGACATTCAGCAGTTTCCTCTTATTTAGTGTGTGCATTCTACCAATGACAACTTCACGCACCGATTTAACCCACTCTGAAAGACATTCAGCAGTTTCCTCTTATTTAGTGTGTGCATTCTACCAATGACAACATCACGCACTTATTTAACCCGCTCTGAAAGACATTCGGCAGTTTCCTCTTATTTAGTGTGTGCATTCTACCAATGACAACATCACGCACTGATTTAACCCACTCGGAAAGACATTCAACAGTTTCCTCTTATTTAGTGTGTGCATTCTACCAATGACAACATCACGCACTGATTTAACCCACTCTGAAAGACATTCAACAGTTTCCTCTTATTTAGTGTGTGCATTCTACCAATGACAACTTTACGCACCGATTTAACCCACTCTGAAAGACATTCAGCAGTTTCCTCTTATTTAGTGTGTGCATTCTACCAATGACAACATCACACACTGATTTAACCCGCTCTGAAAGACATTCAGCAGTTTCCTCTTATTCAGTGTGTGCATTCTACCAATGACAACATCACGCACTGATTTAACCCACTCTGAAAGACATTCAGCAGTTTCCTCTTATTTAGTGTGTGCATTCTACCAATGACAACTTCACGCACCGATTTAACACACTCTGAAAGACATTCGGCAGTTTCCTCTTATATAGTGTGTGCATTCTACCAATGACAACATCACGCACTGATTTAACCCGCTCTGAAAGACATTCAGCAGTTTCCTCTTATTCAGTGTGTGCATTCTACCAATGACAACATCACGCACCGATTTAACCCACTTTGAAAGACATTCAGCAGTTTCCTCTTATTTAGTGTGTGCATTCTACCAATGACAACATCACGCACTTATTTAACCCGCTCTGAAAGACATTCAGCAGTTTCCTCTTATTTAGTGTGTGCATTCTACCAATGACAACATCACACACTGATTTAACCCGCTCTGAAAGACATTCAGCAGTTTCCTCTTATTTAGTATGTGCATTCTACCAATGACATCATCACGCACTGATTTAACCCACTCTGAAAGACATTCAGCAGTTTCCTCTTATTTAGTGTGTGCATTCTACCAATGACAACATCACGCACTGATTTAACCCGCTCTGAAAGACATTCAGCAGTTTCCTCTTATTCAGTGTGTGCATTCTACCAATGACAACATCACGCACTGATTTAACACACTCTGAAAGACATTCAGCAGTTTCCTCTTATTTAGTGTGTGCATTCTACCAATGACAACATCACGCACTGATTTAACCCACTCTGAAAGACATTCAACAGTTTCCTCTTATTTAGTGTGTGCATTCTACCAATGACAACATCACGCACTGATTTAACCCACTCTGAAAGACATTCAACAGTTTCCTCTTATTTAGTGTGTGCATTCTACCAATGACAACATCACGCACTGGTTTAACCCGCTCTAAAAGACATTCAGCAGTTTCCTCTTATTTAGTGTGTGCATTCTACCAATGACAACATCACGCACCGATTTAACCCACTCTGAAAGACATTCAGCAGTTTCCTCTTATTTAGTGTGTGCATTCTACCAATGACAACATCACGCACTGATTTAACCCACTCTGAAAGACATTCAGCAGTTTCCTCTTATTTAGTGTGTGCATTCTACCAATGACAACATCACGCACTGATTTAACCCACTCTGAAAGACATTCAGCAGTTTCCTCTTATTTAGTGTGTGCATTCTACCAATGACAACATCACGCACTGATTTAACCCACTCTGAAAGACATTCAGCAGTTTCCTCTTATTTAGTGTGTGCATTCTACCAATGACAACATCACGCACTGATTTAACCCACTCTGAAAGACATTCAGCAGTTTCCTCTGATTTAGTGTGTGCATTCTACCAATGACAACATCACGCACCGATTTAACCCACTCTGAAAGACATTCAGCAGTTTCCTCTTATTTAGTGTGTGCATTCTACCAATGACAACATCACGCACTGATTTAACCCACTCTGAAAGACATTCAGCAGTTTCCTCTTATTTAGTGTGTGCATTCTACCAATGACAACATCACGCACTGATTTAACCCACTCTTAAAGACATTCAGCAGTTTCCTCTTATTTAGTGTGTGCATTCTACCAATGACAACATCACGCACCGATTTAACCCACTCTGAAAGACATTCAGCAGTTTCCTCTTATTTAGTGTGTGCATTCTACCAATGACAACTTCACGCACCGATTTAACACACTCTGAAAGACATTCAGCAGTTTCCTCTTATTTAGTGTGTGCATTCTACCAATGACAACATCACGCACCGATTTAACCCACTCTGAAAGACATTCAGCAGTTTCCTCTTATTTAGTGTGTGCATTCTACCAATGACAACATCACGCACTGATTTAACCCACTCTGAAAGACATTCAGCAGTTTCCTCTTATTTAGTGTGTGCATTCTACCAATGACAACATCACGCACTGATTTAACCCACTCTGAAAGACATTCAGCAGTTTCCTCTTATTTAGTGTGTGCATTCTACCAATGACAACATCACGCACTGATTTAACCCACTCTGAAAGACATTCAGCAGTTTCCTCTTATTTAGTGTGTGCATTCTACCAATGACAACATCACGCACTGATTTAACCCACTCTGAAAGACATTCAGCAGTTTCCTCTTATTTAGTGTGTGCATTCTACCAATGACAACATCACACACTGATTTAACCCGCTCTGAAAGACATTCAGCAGTTTAGTCTTATTCAGTGTGTGCATTCTACCAATGACAACATCACGCACCGATTTAACCCACTCTGAAGGACATTCAGCAGTTTCCTCTTATTTAGTGTGTGCATTCTACCAATGACAACATCACGCACTGATTTAACCCACTCTGAAAGACATTCAGCAGTTTCCTCTTATTCAGTGTGTGCATTCTACCAATGACAACATCACGCACCGATTTAACCCACTCTGAAAGACATTCAGCAGTTTCCTCTTATTTAGTGTGTGCATTCTACCAATGACAACATCACGCACTGATTTAACCCGCTCGGAAAGACATTCAACAGTTTCCTCTTATTTAGTGTGTGCATTCTACCAATGACAACATCACGCACTGGTTTAACCCGCTCTGAAAGACATTCAGCAGTTTCCTCTTATTCAGTGTGTGCATTCTACCAATGACAACATCACGCACCGATTTAACCCACTCTGAAAGACATTCAGCAGTTTCCTCTTATTTAGTGTGTGCATTCTACCAATGACAACATCACGCACTGATTTAACCCACTCTGAAAGACATTCAGCAGTTTCCTCTTATTTAGTGTGTGCATTCTACCAATGACAACTTCACGCACCGATTTAACACACTCTGAAAGACATTCAGCAGTTTCCTCTTATTTAGTGTGTGCATTCTACCAATGACAACATCACGCACCGATTTAACCCACTCTGAAAGACATTCAGCAGTTTCCTCTTATTTAGTGTGTGCATTCTACCAATGACAACATCACGCACTGATTTAACCCGCTCGGAAAGACATTCAACAGTTTCCTCTTATTTAGTGTGTGCATTCTACCAATGACAACATCACGCACTGGTTTAACCCGCTCTGAAAGACATTCAGCAGTTTCCTCTTATTCAGTGTGTGCATTCTACCAATGACAACATCACGCACCGATTTAACCCACTCTGAAAGACATTCAGCAGTTTCCTCTTATTTAGTGTGTGCATTCTACCAATGACAACATCACGCACTGATTTAACCCGCTCTGAAAGACATTCAGCAGTTTCCTCTTATTTAGTGTGTGCATTCTACCAATGACAACATCACGCACTGATTTAACCCGCTCTGAAAGACATTCAGCAGTTTCATCGTCTCTTTTGGGCCCATTTCTTGCCATATGCTTCGACGGCATCATGACGATTTTAAAGTTGTGATCTCGACTGGAAGGAGGCTGCTAGCGCTATCATGGTCCAAGTTTCAAAAATAAAGCGACAAAACCTTTCCATATGCAATAGAAATCTCTGCATAAAGCAGAGGCGATTGCACAATTCCGATTATATCATGAGCACTATCCAATAGTAATGATACCAGGTGTTCGCGAAAAGGTGACGGAGGTTTTTATTATCAACAATTGAGTAATCACATGTGATAATATGACCAACATGTTTGAATCAATATCAGCCATTATTGGTAACATGAAAGAGTGAAATTTACATCATGAGCTGCCAAGTCCACGTTCTGCAACACGTCCTTATAACTGAACAACTTGGATGAAATGGTGTTCGTGTAGGTAAATGTATCTGTTGGTTGACCCTGAAATTTGAAATATTGAGGGACATTTAGGGAAACTGAAAATGTTTAGGTATTTTATAGCATCAATTCTCTTGTTTGCAGACTTCTTCAAATTCTGTTTCGGGTTTGGCCAATGTTTCAAAGCAGTATTGATACTATACTCTCTAGTCGAGACTTACTCTTTGTAGAGCCATCCATCAGGAAACATTGCTGAATATGTAGTATAGTATAGTCTTTTTTGTTACTTTGTGCAATCCCAATGGTTCCTGAAAGAGTGGCATTAACTCCTCCAAATCAATTGTATCATTTGGTCTTTTTCATTCCGTGTGACCATCTCTAAAGACGTTGCACCATTAGACGTAGAAGATAATTTAAGATCTGGATATGCTTCTACTGCTCTACTGCTGTTTCCAGGCGCTGGGTAATCATGAGTTTGACCTCGGCATCGAGGGGTTGATACCCTTCCTCAACGACGTCAACTTCACCGTGGCCAGCGCCAACATCGATGCTACAGGCGAGCCGTTGGTGGAAAACAAGCTGATGAAACATACAGTGTTGACGGTCGGGGGTGAACTTATCGGGGTCATCGGGTACACTACAACAGAGACGCCGTTAATCTCGTCACCAGGTAAAACTAGGGCCCCATAACAATGACACACAATTTACGTCCTTTACTTTCGTAAGAACAATAGTACCGTAAAGTAAACGGAAGACCCTTTAATTTTCTCTACTTTAGTATTTTATCATTAATATTATATTAAAAATGTATTCACTTCAGGTCAAAATCTCAAATTTGAAGATGAGGTTGTAGCAGTCCAGAGAGAGGTGGACTCCCTGACGTCACAGGGCATCAACAAGATCATCGCTCTCGGTCACTCGGGATTTGATGTTGACCAACGAATAGCAGCAGAGGTCAATAACCTGGATGTGGTGGTCGGGGGTCACACCAATACCTTCCTCTACACAGGTGAGAACGCACATGCCTACGCGCATGCACACGTAAACGCACACTCACATACATACTTCAGCATATGCAGACCGGTCCAACACTCACCCATATTTGCAGCTGTGTATGCTATGTCATGTTTTGGTCGGAAGGTTCAAACTACTTACTGCCTTTCAATGCAATTAGCGCTTCAAGTCAAACCAGTAATAGATTGCCATTTTTTCAGGCGACCCCCCGTCCAATGAGGAACCGGAAGGAGAGTATCCCCACGTGGTGACCCAGTCGGGAGGGGCCAAGGTGCTCGTGGTGCAGGACTATGCTTACGGAAAGTATCTTGGAGCTCTGGAAGTGACCTTTGACCCGGATGGTGTCATCACGTCATGGGGAGGCAACCCGATCCTACTAGACAACAAAACAGCACAAGGTTGGTTCTGTCTACTGTGTCAATGGTCAAAGTTTACATTCATGGACTACGTGCAAGCACATTTTACTTTTGACATCGGGCACTTGGGGGAGAAACCGTTTTTGCAGGTAATAGCATGGCCACATACTACTGGACCAACGGCATCCATAAATTCAACGAAATATTGAACATTCGGATGTCTTTATCTCCATGGAAACAGAACCACTTCGTCCGCAGTATGGAGAAGAAAGTTTTCTCTCAAATACTGATAAAAAAGATGTACACCTGGAAAATAATCAAGCACCGCTAACAATACATGCCCTCATAAAAGAGCATATATTTTATTTGTATTCTATATATATATTTTCTGACTAAACACATTTGTTATGTTTACAAAGTGAAATACCCATTTAGAAATAGAGAAACCGAAGTCGATTACGTGATGATATATTTTTTAACTATCCCGCTGGTTATAATTCTACCCTCAATTGCTATCTATGCTACTTCTTATCATATGCTATGACACATGTGATCGAGATCATCGGGAGGAGCACATCAGGTATCGGTGGCTTCCTAGATATTTTTGAAAATGAGACCATGGAGATGGTTACAACAGATACGTAATCAGATTTCATGTCCTCGGGTATTCTTTTAGGCTTTTGTTCAACCAATCAGGGATGCGACACACACTTAAATTTACCTCTTTATATATATTGAACAACAAAAGTTCCTGTGACACTGAATAAGATTTAATGCAAAGTTAAGTTTTTTACCAAATCTGAAACATTTCGGTTTGCAACCGATAAAGGACTTCTGTAAGTGTTCAAATGGTTTAATTTTCCATAGTGACTTCAGAAAATGCGTGATTTCATGAAAAAAACTATGAACAAGCCAAAATGTCAATTTATAAATCAATAGCGTGTGTGTCCACCTCTGGTTGCGATGCAAGCAACACATCTTCGTCTCATAGAATGGACCAGGCGTCGCAGAAAGTCCTGTGGGATATCTCTCCATATCTGCTGGAGTATGTTTCGAAGTTCCCGGAGTGTCTATGGAGCACGTGGTTGACGTCGAGGTGCCGATCCATCTCATCCCACATGTGCTCGATTGGTGAGAGATCAGGGGAGCGAGCCATCCAGGGGATGACATTCACGTTGTTTTGTTGAAGAGAACACTGAACAAGTCGAGCAATATGAGGCCGGGCGTTGTCATGTTGAAAGGTAATGCCTGGGCCATGACGACGCAAAAACGGTAGAACAACAGGGCCGATGATCTCGTCGCGGTAGCGCTGTCCATCAGGATTTCCCTCTACCACTATCAAACGGGTCCTCTGTCTTGCTGTAATCCAACCCCATACCATAACGCTGCCGTCCCCCGAATCGATCTTCCTCTATGACACAATGATTGACGTAACGTTCACCTCGACGTCGGTACACTCGAATCCGTCCATCGCTGTGGCTGAGGTGAAAACGAGACTCGTCAGTGAATAGAACTTGTCCCCACTGCATGGCCGTCCAGCGTAGACGCTGTCTGCACCACTGTAGACGTGCTCGACGATGGTTTCCTGTCAAAATGGGACGTCTGGCGGGTCTTCTGGCGACAATCCATGCACTTCTGAGGTGGCGACGTACGGTTTGTGAAAATATTCGTCGAAGGCCAGGGATGCTTCTTGCAGTCACTGTTGCTGGCTGGAATCGATTTCGTAGGTGTGTGGTTCGAATCCAGTTGTCTTGTCGATTATTGGTTGTGGCCTGCCACTCCGAGGATGGTCATTGACTGCATTCGTCTGTTGCCAACGTTGCCATAAACACCAAATGGTGTTTCTGTGGACGTTAAATTGTCTTGCAACATCACGTTAACTCGATCCTGCTTCAAGCATACCAATGGCTCGCAGACGCTCATTTTCGGACAGGCGTGGCATTTCGTAATGTTGAATAATTGCGTAATTTTGTTGTTTTTCTGAGTGGTTGTTGTCAGCACGATGCTAAACAATGCATATGGAATCCCGTTAACGCACATGTTTTTATACCCATTCTTGGGAAGTGAAATGCATGGGGCTTTTGCTTTTGCATGGAATGCATGCTTTTCTGTAGCAGTTGCGTTTTTGTGACTTGATTCCATACATGTACTACAATATTGAAAACCAAACTTTACTTGTTTGAAAAATACACTAAAATATTGGTGTCAAGGGAACTTTTGTTGTTAAGTATATGTCGTCGGAGACCAACAAATGCAACCAATGCCCCTGTGTTTGTCTTCTAGATGAGATGACCCTGGAGCTTATGCAGCCATACAAGGAGGGCGTGGCTAACGAGTCAGGCACGGTGGTGGCCAGAAGCCAAGTGATGCTTGACGGGGACAGGTCCTCCTGTAGGGTCAAAGAGTGTAATTTTGGTAAGTTAAAAACTCGATTTATTCACGTAATGGCCCCAGTTATAACTGTACCTCTGTAAGACTCTTCACGCATAGATCGACATATGAAACAGATGAAGCGATCTCACTGTTCTCCTTTATTCATTAATTTATTTATTTCATATGCTACCTACTCCAAATAACCTATTTCTTAACTCCTCCGCCAGCACAACTTCATCCAGCCCCTAAGGCCCCGTCTTCACATATTTTTGGGATATTGACTCCTCGGACATGCATTCTTTATAGTGTCTAACTAACGTGTATATATATTCATGTATTCCTGGGAGCATTTGGGTAGCCTATTGGTTAAAGCTTTCGCTCGTCACGCCGAAGACCCGGGTTCAATTCCCGACATAGGTACAATGTTTGAAGCCCATTTGTGGTGTCCCGCGCCATGATATTGCTGGAATATTGCTAAAAGCGGTGTAAAACCTCACTCACTCACTCATGTATTCTTGTGCCCTAGGGAACCTGATTGCGGACAGTATGGTGCACAAGAACCTGAAGCACAGCGACTCCCTGGAATGGAACCACGTGGCCATCGCTTTCATGAACGGGGGCGGCATCCGGGCCTCAGTAGAGAGAGGTACTTCTGACTAACACAGTTCTCATACAGGAGGTAACGTTAGATCTCATACAGTGAGGTAACGTTAGATGTCAAACAGGAGGTAACGTTAGATCTCATACAGTGAGGTAACGTTAGATGTCAAACAGGAGGTAACGTTAGATCTCATACAGTGAGGTAACGTTAGATGTCAAACAGGAGGTAACGTTAGATGTCAAACAGGAGGTAACGTTAGATCTCAAACAGGAGGTAACGTTAGATCTCAAACAGGAGGTAACGTTAGATGTCAAACAGGAGGTAACGTTAGATCTCAAACAGGAGGTAACGTTAGATCGCAAACAGGAGGTAACGTTAGATCTCATACAGTCAGGTAACGTTAGATCTCATACAGGAGGTAACGTTAGATCTCATACAGTGAGGTATCGTTAGATCTCAAACAGGAGGTAACGTTAGATCGCAAACAGGAGGTAACGTTAGATGTCATACAGTCAGGTAACGTTAGATCTCATACAGGAGGTAACGTTTGATACAAACAGGAGGTAACGTTAATTCTCAAACAGGAGGTAACGTTAGATCTCAAACAGGAGGTAACTTTAGATCTCAAAGAGGAGGTACCGTTAGATCTCATACAGGAGGTAACGTTAGATCGCAAACAGTGAGGTATCGTTAGATCTCAAACAGGAGGTAACGTTAGATCGCAAACAGGAGGTAACGTGAGATGGCAAACAGGAGATAACGTTTGATACAAACAGGAGGTAACGTTAATTCTCAAACAGCAGGTAACGTTAGATCTCAAACAGGAGGTACCGTTAGATCTCATACAGGAGGTAACGTTAGATCTCAAACAGGAGGTAACGTTAGATCTCAAACAGGAGGTAACGTTAGATCTCAAACAGGAGGTAACGTTAGATCTCAAACAGGAGGTAACGTTAGATCTCAAACAGGAGGTAACGTTAGATCTCATACAGGAGGTAACGTTAGATCTCATACAGGCGGTAACGTTAGATCGCAAACAGGAGGTAACGTAAGATGGCAAACAGGAGATAATGTTTGATACAAACAGGAGGTAACGTTAGATCTCAAACAGAAGGTAACGTTAGATAGCAAACAGGAGGTAACGTTAGATCTCAAACAGGAGGTAACTTTAGATCTCAAACAGGGGGTACCGTTAGATCTCATACAGGAGGTATCGTTAGATCTCAAACAGGAGGTAACGTTAGATCGCAAACAGGAGGTAACATTAGATGGCAAACAGGAGATAACGTTTGATATAAACAGGAGGTAACGTTAGATCCCAAACAGGAGGTAACGTTAGATCTCATACAGTCAGGTAACGTGAGATCTCATACAGTGAGGTAAAGTTAGATCTCAAACAGGAAGTAACGTTAGACCCCAACAGGAGGTAACGTTAGATCTCATACAGTTAGGTAACGTTAGATCTCAAACAGGAGGTGACGTTAGATCTCATACAGTGAGGTAACGTTAGATCTCAAACAGGAGGTAACGTTAGATCTCATACAGTGAGGTAACGTTAGATTTCAAACAGGAGGTAACGTTAGATCTCAAACAGGAGGTAACGTTAGACCTCAAACAGGAGGTAACGTTAGATTGCAAACAGGAGGTAACGTTAGATCTCATACAGGAGGTAACGTTAGATCTCATACAGTGAGGTAACGTTAGATCTCAAACAGGAGGTAACGTTAGATCGCAAACAGGAGGTAACGTTAGATGGCAAACAGGAGATAACGTTTGATACAAACAGGAGGTAACGTTAGATCTCAAACAGGAGGTAACGTTTGATCTCATACAGTCAGGTAACGTTAGATCTCATACAGTGAGGTAAAGTTAGATCTCAAACAGGAGGTAACGTTAGACCCAAACAGGAGGTAACGTTAGATCTCATACAGTTAGGTAACGTTAGATCTCAAACAGAAGGTAACGTTAGATCTCAAACAGGAGGTAACTTTAGATCTCAAACAGGAGGTAACGTTAGATCTCATACAGGAGTTACCGTTAGATCTCATACAGGAGGTAACGTTAGATCGCAAACAGGAGGTAACGTTAGATGGCAAACAGGAGATAACGTTTGATACAAACAGGAGGTAACGTTAGATCTCAAACAGGAGGTAACGTTAGATCTCAAACAGGAGGTAACGTTAGATCTCAAACAGGAGGTAACGTTAGATCTCAAACAGGAGGTACCGTTAGATCTCATACAGGAGGTAACGTTAGATCTCAAACAGGAGGTAACGTTAGATCTCATACAGGAGGTAACGTTAGATCTCAAACAGAAGGTAACGTTAGATCTCATACAGTCATGTAACGTTAGATCTCAAACAGGACGTGACGTTAGATCTCAAACAGGAGGTAACTTTAGATCTCATACAGAAGGTACCGTTAGATCTCATACAGTGAGGTGACTTTAGAACTCATACAGAAGGTAACGTTAGATCTCATACAGGAGGTAACGTTAGATCTCAAACAGGAGGTAACGTTAGATCTCATACAGGAGGTAACGTTAGATCTCAAACAGAAGGTAACGTTAGATCTCATACAGTCAGGTAACGTTAGATCTCAAACAGGACGTAACGTTAGATCTCAAACAGGAGGTAACTTTAGATCTCATACAGAAGGTACCGTTAGATCTCATACAGTGAGGTGACGTTAGAACTCATACAGAAGGTAACGTTAGATCTCATAAAGGAGGTAACGTTAGATCTTAAACAGAAGGTAACGTTAGATCTCAAACAGGAGGTAACGTTAGATCTCATACAGTCAGGTGACGTTAGATCTCAAACAGGAGGTAACGTTAGATCTCATACAGGAGGTAACGTTAGATCTCAAACAGAAGGTAACGTTAGATCTCATACAGGAGGTAACGTTAGATCTCATACAGGAGGTAACTTTAGATCTCATACAGAAGGTACCGTTAGATCTCATACAGTGATGTGACGTTAGAACTCATACAGAAGGTAACGTTAGATCTCATACAGGAGGTAACGTTAGATCTTAAACAGAAGGTAACGTTAGATCTCAAACAGGAGGTAACGTTAGATCTCATACAGGAGGTAACGTTAGATCTCAAACAGAAGGAAGCGTTAGATCTCAAACAGAAGGTAACGTTAGATCTCATACAGTGAGGTGACTTTAGAACTCATACAGAAGGTAACGTTAGATCTCATACAGGAGGTAACGTTAGATCTCAAACAGGAGGTGACGTTAGAACTCAAACAGAAGGTAACGTTAGATCTCATACAGGAGGTAACGTTAGATCTCATACAGTCAGGTGACGTTAGAACTCATGCGGAAGGTAACGTTAGATCTCATACAGGAGGTAACGTTAGATCTCATACAGAAGGTACCGTTAGATCTCATACAGTGAGGTGACGTTAGAACTCATACAGAAGGTAACGTTAGATCTCATACAGGAGGTAACGTTAGATCTTAAACAGGAGGTAACGTTAGATCTCAAACAGGAGGTAACGTTAGATCTCATACAGTCAGGTGACGTTAGATCTCAAACAGGAGGTAACGTTAGATCTCATACAGGAGGTAACGTTAGATCTCAAACAGAAGGTAACGTTAGATCTCATACAGGAGGTAACGTTAGATCTCATACAGGAGGTAACTTTAGATCTCATACAGAAGGTACCGTTAGATCTCATACAGTGATGTGACGTTAGAACTCATACAGAAGGTAACGTTAGATGTCAAACAGGAGGTAACGTTAGATCTTAAACAGAAGGTAACGTTAGATCTCAAACAGGAGGTAACGTTAGATCTCATACAGGAGGTAACGTTAGATCTCAAACAGAAGGAAGCGTTAGATCTCAAACAGAAGGTAACGTTAGATCTCATACAGTGAGGTGACGTTAGATCTCATACAGAAGGTAACGTTAGATCTCATACAGAAGGTACCGTTAGATCTCATACAGCGAGGTGACATTAGAACTCATACAGAAGGTAACGTTAGATCTCATACAGGAGGTAACGTTAGATCTCATACAGTCAGGTGACGTTAGAACTCATACAGGAGGTAACGTTAGATCTCATACAGGAGGTAACGTTAGATCTCAAACAGAAGGTAACGTTAGATCTCAAACAGGAGGTAACGTTAGATCTCAAACAGGAGGTAACTTTAGATCTCATACAGAAGGTACCGTTAGATCTCATACAGTGAGGTGGCGTTAGAACTCATACAGAAGGTAACGTTAGATCTCATACAGGAGGTAACGTTAGATCTTAAACAGAAGGTAACGTTAGATCTCAAACAGGAGGTAACGTTAGATCTCATACAGGAGGTAACGTTAGATCTCAAACAGAAGGAAGCGTTAGATCTCATACAGGAGGTAACGTTAGATCTGAAAGAGGCGGTAACGTTAGATCTCAAACAGGAGGTAACTTTAGATCTCATACAGAAGGTACCGTTAGATCTCATACAGTGAGGTGACGTTAGATCTCATACAGAAGGTAACGTTAGATCTCATACAGGAGGTAACGTTAGATCTCAAACAGAAGGTGACGTTAGATCTCATACAGAAGGTAACGTTAGATCTCATACAGGAGGTAACGTTAGATCTCAAACAGAAGGTCACGTCATATTCTTCTGAATAACCAAGACCCAATACAGAGATGTAACTTCACTGTTTTGACAATACATCTTACAAAGGTCCCAAATGGCAATCATTTCCGTCAATTTTTTGCTGTTATTCTGCTTTACACTGTCCAAATATTCCTTGTGATGAATTGTTTTCGCCTCTTTTTTGTTTGGCCTGCCCAAACAGACTTTCTGAGGACTCTTTTCTCAATCCTTCTATTGATGTTATGTTCAGGTGACGTTTCTATCGGCGACATCCTGACAGTGCTGCCATTCCGGAACTCTGTGGACATCGTTGAGCTGCTTGGGAAACATGTCCGGGAGACGCTGGAGTTCACGGCGTCCAAGTGGGTGGAGAACACGAGTAACTTATTCGGAGGCTTCCTCCAGGTGTCTGGTACGTGTTTCCACATGACGACCGTAAAGGCCATATAAGCAACGTACATTGTCAGCCTTATCAAGGATCAGGACGCAATAGCAATTGGCCTTCTTAAAGTTTTTGAACAGCTACAGAGCTGCCTCTGTATGGTGTAAGACAGCGTTAGGAAGCAGCTGCAAAGCAACATCTTCAACGTTACACAACAGTATTGTTCTATTATCTGTTCATACAATATTAACAAGATTCTGAAAATCACTGTTCGTAAGCACTCCTCGTGTTTACACGGCAGAAATAAATCTCGTTATGTTCAGACACCATTAGAAAGCAACAGATAATCGCAGGTAGCATTGCAAGACATTGTAAGGCATCGTTATAATGTTTAAACAACGTTTAAACCATACATTATCCTTTATTCAATTCTCCTCTCCAGGAATGAAAATTGTGTACGACATGGGGATGCCTGTGGGTCAAAGGGTAATAGAGGTCAAGGTCAGGTGCACCAACTGTTCCGTGCCCCATTACGTGGATCTGAATGACTCGGAGGTATACAAGATCATCATGCCCAACTTCATTGCCAATGGTGGAGACGGATATGACGTCATCAAGAAGAACAAGATGAAACATCATCTGCTTGGTAAGCTTGTCATGGTTCACTGCGTCACGTGTCAAACTATAAACGTGTAAGAATGTTTCAGCTGTGGTTTGCAAAATATGCAAGATAGGCTTAATGTAGCACTTCAAGGAAATATTGGCGCTACGTTTTGTGTAATATCCAACATCTGTCCAGTCGCCATTCTGGCAGTGCGGCTGGTTAGTCTCTGGTAGGTTATAACCTACCACCACACGTTGAAGATTTCAAGAGCGCTTTCAGCACAGTTGACTACGCTCTCCATATTTCACGATTTGGTTGCTTTCAGTGACAATATGTGTGTTATTGTTGCAGGGGATGTGGACGCCGACGTCTTCATTGAGTACGTCAAGAGCTTTTCGCCCCTTACCACAGGCCTGGAGGGTCGCATAACATTGCGGAAGGTGGCCACGTGCCCTTGTCGCGAGACCAGTGACGTCACCCGCCCAACACCACAGCTCCTCGCATCGACAATTGCAATCATAATAATCAGTGTTCTGCTGATATAAGTGACATTTCATGTCATGAAATTTGTATGGTGATCACAGGAACGACGGACGTGTTCTTCTCTTTGTGGGTGTGATATGATGGGTGGCTGGAGATATTGATGGACAGTGTGTTGTGATGTGTGTGTCCATCTTGACATATCATGTGCATACATTTTCGAAAGGCATTTATTCGACTTTGTTGGAGAAATAAGCTGTTGTATGCACTTCTTATGAAGGTGAACATTGACAAATATTTCTAAGTTTAAAAGATATTATATAACTAGATGTCAGCTTGTGTTAGAATCGGAAGTTCGAAAAGTCAAATGTTCACAATATAATATGGAGTACGCCAAAGATGTATGTTGAGTCCTGTTTTATTTGTATTTTTTATACATGAGTTGGTAGATGAAATGAAGCAATGTGCACTGAGGGGTGTTTATGTCAGGGGTGGACTAAACGGTATCATGCTGCTCTTTTTGGCATATGACGAAAGATTGATTGAAGGCCTATAAAGAAAACTTTATACATTGACATGTTATTGCGTTATATCCCTAGGAGTTGACCTAAAGAAGTCATATTTGGTTGTGTTCAGAAATGGTGGATAGCTAAGAAATAGAGAAACATGGATTTATTATGGTAAACATAAGAAAGTAGTATCTCATTATACATATCTGGGTATTGTCTTTACATCCAAGTTCATTTGGTCAAAACGTGTGGAACATTTGCACTACAAGCTGGAAAGGCTCCATTCTTACGTTTTTAAATGAGTATCCAAGCATTTGTCTGACAGTAGCACCTGTAATATCTGATAGTAAAATAGTTCCATATTTTACCATGGTTCGGAAGAATGGAGTGACACTTGTGTGAGTTTTGAGGTTGGTCCGTAAACGATATAAATTTGTTAATGAAATAAAAGATAGAACCTACCAATGAGTTAATTATTTCCTTCGATGTATAACGTTTTGGGCAGACTTGCATACTCTTCAAAAGAAGGTAGGGGATCATAAAATATAACTGTGACCGCTCGCCAGAAGAAGGATCAGCTTTGAAAAATGACTGCCAGAGATTCGCCCAACACCCCCCAGATATTTCGCTGAGACCATGCATTTCCCCCGTACACACGGGTAGGGGGTAATTCTTGATTTTGATACTTCAGTACAAGGTCGTCAAATCGCTTTCGGACATTGGTGATTTTCATTATCCCTAATAACACGTAACCTCTGTACTCTTGCATTTATGCAGTATTTGTGTTCAGGCTGGTGAACGCCTAAATGCTATTGGCATGCTTCAAACTGGTACAACGCAGTGAGAGATATGGTCAATGTGTTTCAGTTTGTGATTTGCAGACTTTGGAACAGGTTTCCGCAGACACAAAATACCAATGGAGGACCATGCACAGGGCAACCTATGTCAACAACACAGGGTCCAGGTTCGAAATCGATCAAATTGCTGTTCAATTGCACCAGGCCACCGGAGTTCAAGTTACTGACCAGATGCCTAGAAATCCTCTGCATGCAGCTAATCTACATGCTCCACGACCACGTGTTGTATAACCGTTCACCAATCACTACATTCTAGCCAGACGTCTATTGTGTTTAGAACCTGGTGTTTAGACACTGTGAGAATCGCCTATGTTCTCATGTAATGCTTTCAGATGCGTCCAGATTCACTCTGGACTTTCTGAATAGTAACTGTTGTGTACATGACATGTCTGTAGGCGTCCTGTGATGGGCAGGAGTACCCGGGTTGAGATATCGGGGTTGTGTTGGGCAGGGGTACCTGGGTGGAGATAGCTGGCTGTTGAACTCGGTTTTCAAATGAAAAGTCAAGTCGTTATGGAAAGGTGAAAACTGTACAGAAGAATGGCATGCCGTCACCGGAGGTTTGGAATTAGAATGAAGGCCCCTGGCCCCAATACATGCTATTTCAATAAATGTACCACATTTTACCACATCATGGTCAACTTACGTTTAACATTTTCCGTCTCTTATCATAGCTTATATAATTAATAGTTTCTTCGGCAATATTTCAGAATTTTCAGATAATATTATTTAAAACTTATTCGGGAATGGGTATTGACAAGCAATATTCTCTAAGGTCACTTCAATATTTACAGATTAAGACAAAATGATATTCACCTCCGATACCAAGTTTACATGACATGACTCTATTCCTCATCATCGATCATCATTTTCCTTCAGTTTTAACAATCTGGCTGAAAGTGGAAAAATAATGTTTCGATGTTCCTTGTCTGCGCTTACAAGGTTCTTTTCGGGCTGTTTTGAACTCTCCCTAAGATAGCAGGTGAAGGCGGATGTAGGCTGTGTTTATCGTCTGTACTTACTAATTTGTTCATTATATTATTTGCGATTGTTTCAAAATCCATGTGATATTCTCCTCATGCCATAAACACTATGGTTTGTGTCCTCCCATTAGTTTCGCGTCCCATTTGTCACACACCTTAAAACATCGTAGGTCATGGCGGAAGGCACTGACTGGTCTACCCTATGTTACCTAAGTATTAGAATGGAGTGATCCAAGAAAAATGTAAAAATAATCTTATACTTAATGTATATAAGACTGTAGAAAAGTAAACTTGTACTTTATTTATGTGAAGTATATGCACACAAAGACATTTTAAATACAAGAGGGTAGCTGACAGTTCCACGTCTGGCATGCAGGGTATAGATGTATCCCAGAGTGCAGGACAGACGGTGGATGTTCCATCCATGTAGATGGTCTGCTGACTGAAGTGCCTCCAGTTGACGTTTTGTTGAGAACGCCAAGATTTTATTGTCTTCTCCGTCACTGAATAGAAGGTAGGGCTGGCTCGCCATGGTCAGTGTCCAATTCTCAGCCACATCCAGCTCACCCTGGTCTGTGGCAGCACTGGAATGGTCTTCTGACGATGTCTTTGGGGATGCATCTCCAGTGTTGTCCATCGAGTGGTGCTCTTGTAGTACAGGTAACCTTCACACAGAACATGTTGTGTGCCTCGCTGCGATGTTACATACGCTACTAACCTTAAACCCGCCATGGTCATGACCCAAGCTACTGAAACAAACCCTATGTACCAAGGTTACATTATTAAATATTTACATTAAAACTGGAGTACAGACTCGAATGCCAAAGAGTCCACACATCGCGCATTCCGCAGTCAGTTACATACTTGACGATAGCAAACCCCTTGATCAAGATTATTAGTGACGGCAACAAACTCCTTTGTTACTATCAAGATATATATTGACAATAACCATTGCCTTGGTCAATCTCAAGATATATACTGACAATAACAAACAACTTGGTCATAATCCAGATATATACTGACGATAAATATCGCCTTGATAATAATCCAGATATATACTGACGATGAAAATCGCCATGGTCACTATTCAGATATATACTGAAGATGAAAATCACCAAGGTCACTATTCAGATAAATACTGACAATAAAATCGTCTTGATAATAATCTAGATATATACTGACGTTAACAAAAGCTTTGGTCACTCCCCAGATAGATACTGACGGTAACAAACGCTTTTGCCACTGTCCAGATATATACTGACAATAACAAACACCTTGGTCATAATCCAGATATATACTGACGATAAATATCGCCTTGATAATAATCCAGATATATACTGACGATGAAAATCGCCATGGTCACTATACAGATATATACTGAAGATGAAAATCACCAAGGTCATATTCAGATATATACTGACGATAAATATCGCCTTGATAATAATCCAGATATATACTGACGATGAAAATCGCCATGGTCACTATACAGATATATACTGACGATGAAAATCGCCATGGTCACTATTCAGATATATACTGAAGATGAAAATCGTCTTCATAATAATCTAGATATATACTGACGTAACAAAAGCTTTGGTCACTCCCCAGATAGATACTGACGGTAACAAACGCTTTTGCCACTGTCCAGATATCTATTGACGGTAACAATCACCTTGATTATAATCCGGATAGATATTGACGGTAAAACACGCCTAGGTCATATTCCGGACATAAATTGATGGCAACAAACGCCTTGGTCACTATCCAGATATATACTGACGGTAACAGACACCCAGGTATATTCACTGGCGGTAAGAAATGCCTTGGTCACTATTCAAATAGATATACGGGCGGTAGCAAACGCGTAGGTCACCATCCATATGCAATGAAGATAATGGTTGTAAAAGGCAGAACAGTGGTGAAGATTAAACGAATGGATGACAGAAAATCCACGATGACACCAGGTGTTCGCGAAAAGGGTGTGCATGTCCTACTATACCATCTTCCCGAGGCAAGAGACTTGACTAAGTCCAGTTTCCACCCTTGCCGAATTTGGTTGGAATTATTACCAGTTATGTCCCATCTAAGCCTCTCATGTTGACCAATCAGATTCCATCTCTCGTATCATTTGCATTTGCTTCAAACAAAATGGCGACGCCCAGTCAGGACGATCTGATCAATAATCAAGATCTGCATTGTGACAAATGGGTCTTACACCGCGAAATGAGGGGCGGTCGGGTAGCCTAGTGGTTAAAGCGTTCGCTCGTCACGCCGAAGACCGAAGATACTGACGGTAACAAACGCTTTTGCCACTGTCCAGATATATACTGACAATAACAAACACCTTGGTCATAATCCAGATATATACTGACGATAAATATCGCCTTGATAATAATCCAGATATATACTGACGATGAAAATCGCCATTTCTGGTGTCCCCCTCCGTGATATTGCTGGAATATTGCTAAAAGCGGCGTAAAACCACTCAGTCAGTCAGTACACCGCGAAATGCATCAAATCACGTCAGCACCTTGATTAAGACCATGAAAAGATTTAGAAAATATCTGCTGACAACGAGTTGGCGGTTTTACGAACCGGATTGCGATTTCGTTGTTCGATTTTCATTGGACCTATGCATAGACTCGTTAGTCCAGTCAAAATGTAACTCCATAATGCCAGCCTAGTTCGGCAAGGGTGGACTTTAAAGTCAGTTAACTCTCTTGCCTCGGGAAGATGTACTATACCGGGAGCATCCAGCACTCGCAAGAAAAGTATATGTTGCTTAAAGCAGCATAACAGTACTCCTGTCATATCACTGTCATATTCCTGTCATATCCCTGTCATACTCCTGTCATATCCCTGCCATACGACGGCGACCAGTAAACCGTCGAGTATTGACGAGACAATTTGTTGAAGCTACAAACAATGGTAATCCTCCACCCACCTCGAGCTTATGATGACACTCGGGGACTTCAGTCCACCATTAGAAACATCGACCCAGTTCAAGTAAATATAAAACGTCAACGCCAGCGAATAACAAGTCTCGATTATCTGCCGAAACAAGGCGTACAAGGCAAAATAGTGGTTAAATAATATACGAATGCTTTTATTACCTCAGTTACTTATGTTGATTGTAACACATTTCTATCACAATTTAGAAATGGTGTGGTCTTCACAAACTCATTTGTAAGATGATTCCAACAAAAGCCTTGTATCGAAAAACCGGGTTAGCAGGTTCCATAATAAATCCTTCTAATGTGCTTGCCGTTCTAGCACTTCATCTGAATTGACAGCTGTGAACGCAACGGCCCAGACTGGAATAAACAAAGACATTCAAACACCACAAACTCACGCCTCAATGATCTGAGCCGCGAAAATCACCGACCGTGTCAATTGATTCAATGGAGAGATGACAACATAGTCTGTGACAGTAGCAATACGACCAGCAACAAGGAGGGTGTCGCCACATAACCCAGACCAGAAGACTTGTTTATGACGTGTTTTTCCCCAATCCTCTGTACCATTGGATTATAACAGGAACGCTGTTAACTGCTGACACAACTTCACGTTACAGCTAAGCCTTATAGCTTCGCCTACAGCAACCTAACAGCTTCACGTCACAGACTTAAGATAAGACGTAAGATATTCGACATGCTCCTTGTACCTCTGCTGGGGATCTTTCTGCCTGCTGTGGTCGTCGGCTTCAACCTCACCATCCTCCACACCAACGACATCCACGCCAGATTCGAACAGACCAACAAATACAGTGGCCAGTGCCAAGCCGATGATGTGACAGAGGGGAAATGTTTTGGTGGGACAGCGCGACTTGTGACCAAAGTCCGTGAACAGCGCCTCCTCCATCCCAACACCATCCTCCTGTCGGCAGGGGACGAATATTCGGGGACGCTGTGGTTCTACAAGTACCGGGGTGCCGTTGTTGCCAGATTCATGAACCTGTTGCAGTATGACGTCATGGCGAGTATTTTTATTTGTTATATTTTGACATCCTTAGAATCAGAACAGAGCTAACCCCTTACGATTAAATCATTATTGAATATATTTATACATTAGGGTTATGTTTGTATTCACAATGCAGTTTTATGCTGGAGTCTGGAGTTACTGTTAACTCTACTCTCATCACACTAGGATAGTGACCAAGGCGTTTGTTGCCATCAATTTAGGTCCGGAATATGACCTAGGCGTGTTTTACCGTCAATAGATATCTGGACAGTGGCAAAAGCCCGAGGTCTCTAAAGGTTCCTGTCCTGTCTCTGAAGAGTGTTACGTTCTCATCCACTCAAGTCATGACGGTCAGTCAGTGACAGTTAGGAATGGCCGTCATTCTTCACTATCCCGCAACACCAAACATGAATTTGAAGACGCGGCCATGACCTTTCCCCATGCAAAGAAACCAGTCAAGCGAAGCCGAATTCGCGGTCGTAAAAGTCGCCCGGGGTGGTCGCCCGGGGTGGGGGGTGAATGGTGAGGGGGGAGGGGTCACGAGACCCACCTTTGCTTAGTTTGGGTCCAAAATAGAAAATAAACAAACTAAAAGGTCGCACTGGTGTGACGGGGGCGTCTCGCGACACCGACCTTTGACTTCTCAAAACAACACAGTATGTCTCACCTGAACGAACTGCGGATTCCTTTGAAGACAACATATGGTTGGATAACTTGAGGGGTCTTCTCATGAACAGAAATCAGTAGGTGAGTGAAAACTTACCACAGGTGGGAACAGAGTAATGTTAATCGGACTGGTCAGGTCTTGATGACCCACTGCCAAAACTTCCATGCATGTTTGGTGTCGTTGCGCCTGTACATGGAACAGTCGCACAATATTCTGTCTCCGCGATGGGAAGCAATATACTGCAAGTCTGTATGTGCATTAGCCAGGTACAAGTGATGAAACATCTTTACTTTTATACAGGGAAATAAGTTCACCGATAAATGTCACATCTGTCTGTCATCGCTTGGTCACTGTTCCTTCTTACGGTGAGTTATTGCTCACATATTGTTCTCGAGGCAAAACATATATAATTCTCAAAGGATGTCGCTGTTCGCTTTGGTAAGACCTGCCGTGTTCTGAAATCGAACGATTGCTCTAGTTACACCCCCCTTCCCCCCCTCCTTCCCCTCCCCCTTCCCCCCTCCCCCCTCCTAGCCGTTCACTGCACTATTGCTGGTACAATTACATAGAGAGTTACCTCCCCTAAGTATAGAGACATGCTGTTGAAGTATCAACAAAGAAAGAAAGAAAGAAACGCGCAGGTAGTATATAGTTTACTGAACCTCACTACACGAAAAGTCCGGGATATGAATCGGATATATTTTATTGGAAAATGTTGGTGGCCTGATGTTCGACAAACGGTGTGTCAAAACGCAGCCATTGTCGATTTGCAATGTCTTAAACGGCATTGTTTTCACAATTGTTCAAAAATGTCATGGCGGAAAACAGTAAAGCAAAATTCACGTGTAAGTTATGGCATTCGTAACTCGCGGTAGTGGTTATAAACAGGCAAGAATAAGTCAACAATGTGTCATTCAATTGTCATCATTTTTCACGTTTTTGCACCAGGTGACGAGGAGGATAATTTAAGATCCTGATATGTTCTTATGGAACTCGTTTTCTATCTGCTCTTTCCAGACGCTGGGTAATCACGAGTTCGATCTCGGCATCGACGGGTTGATTCCCTTACTCAACGACGTCAACTTCACCGTGGCCAGCGCCAACATCGACGCTACTGCCGAGCCACGGGTCAATAACAAGCTGGTGAAACACACGGTGTTGACTGTCGATGGTGAAGGTATCGGGATCATCGGGTACACCTCCAGAGAGACACCGTCAATTTCTGTTCCAGGTCAGTGCCACTATACCGTCGTCAAACAAACAGCACAGTGGGGTAGCCTAGCGGTTAGAGCGTCCGCTCGTCACGCAGAAGGCCCAGGTTCGATTCCCCGCATGGGTATAATGAGTGAAGCCCATTTCTTGTGTAACACCGCCGTGATATTGCTGGAATATTGCTACAAGCGGCGTAAAACCATACCCATTCACTCACTCACTCAATGAAACAGCACCGAGGGGTAAACGACTGACCCTTTCATACTCTCAACACCCTAATGGAGATACTTCAGCATTTACCTTCCATTTATGACATATTCATTCCAGGTCAGAACCTCAAATTTGAAGATGAGGTTGTAGCAGTCCAGAGAGAGGTGGACTCCCTGATGTCACAGGGCATCAACAAGATCATCGCTCTCGGTCACTCGGGATTTGATGTTGACCAACGAATAGCAGCAGAGGTCAATAACCTAGATGTGGTGGTCGGAGGTCACACTAACACCTTCCTCTACACAGGTGAGAACGCACATGCCTACGTCAACGCATATGTCATACTCACATATACATGCATACTGTTCGCACACCCACCCAACAAAACATACGGACAGTTGTGTATGACGTTTTCGTATATTGTTCAAAGTTCAGGCTGCTTTCTACACTTCAAGACAAACCTGTAATAGATTGATATTTTTTCAGGCGACCACCCGTCCAATGAGGAACCGGAAGGAGTGTATCCCCACGTGGTGACCCAGTCGGGAGGGGCCAAGGTGCTCGTGGTGCAGGACTATGCTTACGGGAAATATCTTGGAGCTCTGGAAGTGACCTTTGACCCGGAAGGTGTCATCACGTCATGGGGAGGTAACCCAATCCTTCTGGACAACAACACGGCGCAAGGTGGGTAACTTGGTTGGTATCATAACGTGCTTGGCCATACAACACAAGGTTGGTATCATAACGTGCTTGGCCATACAACGCAGGGTTGGTATCATAACGAGCTTGACCGTACAACACAGGGTTGGTATCATAACGTGCTTGGCCATTCAACACAGGGTTGGTATCATAACGTGCTTGACTGTACAACACAGGGTTGGTATCATAACGTGCTTGGCCATACAACACAGGGTTGGTATCATAACGTGCTTGGCCATACAACACAGGGTTGGTATCATAACGTGCTTGGGCATACAACGCAGGGTTGGTATCATAACGTGCTTGGGCATACAACGCAGGGTTGGTATCATAACGTGCTTGGCCATACAACACAGGGTTGGTATCATGACGTGTTTGGCAACAAAACACAGGGTTGGTATCATAACGTGCTTGGCCATACAACACAAGGTTGGTATCATAACGTGCTTGGCCATACAACGCAGGGTTGGTATCATAACGAGCTTGACCGTACAACACAGGGTTGGTATCATAACGTGCTTGGCCATTCAACACAGGGTTGGTATCATAACGTGCTTGACCGTACAACACAGGGTTGGTATCATAACGTGCTTGGCCATACAACACAGGGTTGGTATCATAACGTGCTTGGCCATACAACACAGGGTTGGTATCATAACGTGCTTGGGCATACAACGCAGGGTTGGTATCATAACGTGCTTGGGCATACAACGCAGGGTTGGTATCATAACGTGCTTGGCCATACAACACAGGGTTGGTATCATGACGTGTTTGGCAACAAAACACAGGGTTGGTATCATAACGTGCTTGGGCATACAACGCAGGGTTGGTATCATAACGTGCTTGGCCATACAACACAGGGTTGGTATCATAACGTGCTTGGGCATACAACGCAGGGTTGGTATCATAACGTGCTTGGGCATACAACGCAGGGTTGGTATCATAACGTGCTTGGCCATACGACACAGGGTTGGTATCATAACGTTCTTGGCCATAGAACACAGGGTTGGTATCATAACGTGCTTTGCAACACAACACAGGGTTGGTATCATAACGTTCTTGGCCATAGAACACAGGGTTGGTATCATAACGTGCTTGCCTATACAACACAGGGTTGGTATCATAACGTGCTTGGCCATACAACACAGGGTTAGTAATACTATCATAACGTTTAGGCATATAACCATATACACAAATCGTGGTATGACATGGTACACAGCCGTACACACAAAGCCTGGTGTTATTCTGACGCTACGATCATCGTTGTGTCAGCACCATTATGCACTGGTGACATTCTTCAACTCCTATATTTGGACTGATATAAACAAAATGTGTTCAACTTCTTTGAGAGGCATTTAGAAGTTTGAGTACTAAGTCAGGATTAGGTATATGGATGAACAACTTCTTTATTACAATTAGGAGCGACGTTTCGGTGTTTTCATCCCCGAATCTTAAGACCAGTAAGTCAGATTATTGACTGCTACATCACTGTCTACAGACCAACACGTCCAGTTATAAGACCACTATATCACTGTCTACAGACCAACACGTCCCTTTACAAGGCCACTATATCACTGTCTACAGACCAACACGTCCCTTTACAAGACCACTATTTCACTGTCTACAGACCAACACGTCCCTTTACAAGGCCACTATATCACTGTCTACAGACCAACACGTCCCTTTACAAGACCACTATTTCACTGTCTACAGACCAACACGTCCAGTTATAAGACCACTATAACCACTATATCTATGTCTACAGACCAACACGTCCCTTTACAAGACCACTATTTCACTGTCTACAGACCAACACGTCCCTTTACAAGACCACTATTTCACTGTATAGGACACGTCACAGTAACAGCCAGCTAATCATTCCATCTCTGGGACTATCAATATGTTTATCATCCCCCGCCACGAAGTGGAAGGGGGATATGGGAATGGATGCTGTCCGTCCGTCCTACCGTCCATCCGTCCTTCACATTTTTTTTCCGGAGCAGATCTAAAAACACATGAGAGATGGCTTAACCAAACTTGGCACATAGATAGGTCTTGTGGTAAACTTGTGCCTTTGAATACTTTGGGATTTTAGAATAAATTACTTTTCGAGTTTACATAGCAACGACTTTGACTTTGGCGATAGTGCTCGTTTTGAAAACCGTAAATATTTCTTGCCTTGCACATAACCGGGCATATCATATTGGCGGGGGATATGAGTATTTCATGCTTGTTCGCAATAGTTAGAGGCCACAGTCCCACAGTATTACAGTGTCTATGTGGAGAGGCTGTTCACACAAACTACTTTCTGATTGACAGAGCATAATAAATATACATTGATAAGTTACGAACAATATTTGTATTGACTGATTGCATCAAAGACACGAATTCATCTACATTTGGATGAACAAAATGGTACCGTTTTAGGTATATTGTTTTCTGTCTAGATGAAGCGATCTTGAAGGTGATGCGCCCCTATAGGGAAGGTGTAGCCGACGAGATGAGCCAGGTGGTCGCGAGAAGTCAGGTGCTGCTGGACGGAGAACGGTCTTCTTGTAGGGTCAGCGAGTGCAACTTAGGTAAGATTTGACCGATGACTCAGACAAAGTGTTCCACCCACTATTCCGTGGTGCTTCTCCCGACAGAGATACGTTACGGCACCCAAGTAAATGGATGGATACGTAATAGGAATCAGTTCGGCCCCAAACGAGGAAAAATAAATATTACTCATCGTCGTGCGGGTCATTCTAAACCTAGCGGATGAAAGATGTTGTCCGGGTTCCGAATTCAACCATTCCAATTTCTCCGCATTTTAGACGTTTCCATGGCGCCTTCGGTCTACAAGGCTGAACGGTCCGGGTAACACTTGACAATTTATCTCCCCAAAAATATGTTTGGAAAGATGGAAAGTTTAAAGCTCTACGCCGATCCCTTATTCTCACTTAGAACTTTCTCAAAACAACGGAGTTCAAGTGGTTGTGGTTGCAAGTGTACACTGAACTTTATACAAAATATCCAAATATTATAAGCATAATCATTCAACTTAATCAACAAAGGTCGTATCAAGAAGTTTACGAATAAAAATGTATTTGAGCAAAATTTAATTTTAGCGGCCCATATGAACATATTTAATGAACGGATATTGATGTATAGATTTGAAACTGATATATAGTGATATATAGTATAGTGAGAATGCTTAATGCTTCAAAATGGGGCAAATGGTTGCAACATTGTTATAACAACCAAAGTACTGACAAACAAATTAGTCTTTGGTCACAGCAAAATATAAATTAATTAATAGGTGCCGTTTATAAAAATTATAGTGAGAGATTTCCAGGTAATATGTATTGAGAACAAAATAAAACTCGTGTACAGTTTCATATATTAGGCATGAAACCAGTCTATTATTGCTCGCCATATGTGAATTACGTGTGCATATATTAACTGATTTACATAGATATTCATCTACCGTCATATATAACACGTCAGTTATTACAGAACTGCGTGCGAAGAAACCTGTTTATTTCAATATATAGTATTTTGCCAGATAGACGGTTTTTATCAGTATTTAAAGGTCACCAGCCCAAAATAAAAACAGAAAAAAGATTGATGAGCACTTAACATATTTGACCCAATAACATTCACAAAAATACATATTCAATGTGTTTTTTTACACATTTAAGACATAGATTTGTTCGGAAAGTACATAAGGGGTAATAAATTGGATACCAATTACTTACTTACTTATATTGGGGATTTAACGTGCGCTTTCCGACTGCAAGCGTATGTCGCACACGGAGGATACCAATACTTACTTACTTACTTACTTTGGAGATTTAACGTGCGCTTTCCGACTGATGCGTATTTCGCACACGGAGGATTCCAGTACTACAAGTGCATTTTTGTATGAAAACACATCACCAAGTGTCGTAAACGAGAATGTATGTCGTAAAATGTCATCGTTCTCATTTTTGACGAAAAGAGTTAATGACATATATCACGTGACTGAAATACTGCTGCTGCGTGTGAAGGGATGGAGAGACAAACTTGGTCCAAGACAGAAGACGAAGTCGAACTTCCAGGTGTCGGCGTTGTTCTCTGGTCGATGCTTACACTATCCTTCACTAGTTTGTCTGGCAGACTTGATGACTTCGCGGGCTGACAGCAGTAATATAACCGACTGCGGCTAGTCAGTATCTAATCTCTCATTGGTATGCAAAGTGTTGCCATGTACTAATAACTGCAGAAAGTAATAGACTTTGGTTAATTCCCAGGGAACCTGATCGCTGATGCCATGGTGCACCAGAACCTGCAACACAGCGACTCCCTGGAATGGAACCACGTGGCCCTCGCTTTTATGAACGGGGGCGGCATCCGGACGTCAATACAGAAAGGTAACACATTAGCACTACTAATAACAATTTCGTTCCAAACATTATAAGGGGCGGTCGGGTGGCCCAGTGGTTAAAGCGTTCGCTCGTCACGCCGAAGACCCGGGTTCGATTCACGACATGGGTACATTGTGTGAAGCCCATTTCTGGTGTCCCCCGCCGTGATATTGCTGGAATATTGCTAAAAGCGGCGTTAAACCATACTCACTCACTCCCCAAACATTATATGAGTATATGTGTGCGTGTGAGTGCGTGCGTGAGTGTGTGTGTGTATGGTTGATTGTACTAGTCGGGACTAATGCCGGTGTTATGGTGCTAGTCCACTGAGATACCATGCCACAGTTTAACTTGAATACCCCACTCAGACACAGTATATTGGCAGGAGCCGACAAGTCCCTGTTTTATCCCCTTAATGCCAAGTTCCAGGAAGGGTAACAACAAGTACCATCTTTGAACGTCTTTTTGTAAGACGCTGCCGGGGATCGAACCCCTGACATTGCGCTCTTCGGGGAGACGCTCTCTGCACCAGACTACACTGGGTCTCTCTATATGCCTGAACGGAGGTAACACATGATTTGGGGTTGAAGATATGACAAGCATTTTGAATATGTAATGTGATACTTATACTTTTACGTAGGTGACGTCACTTTCGGCGACATCACCACCGTGCTGCCTTTCCGGAACACCTTTGACATCGTAGAGTTGCTGGGGAAACATGTGCGGGAATCGCTGGAGTTCGCGGTGTCCAAGTGGGCAAAGACCGGGAGTTTGTCTGGGGCGTTCCTCCAAGTGTCGGGTACGTCAACAGAATACAGCTTCCAGTTAACTGTTGTACCAGTGTCCTGGGAAATCTACAGCGAATTGTCCTAGTGAATGTACAGCATTTGTTTGTTTGTTTGTTGTTAAACGCCGCACTCAGCAATATTCCAGCTCTATGACGGCGATCTGTAAACAATAGAGTCAAGACCATCCAGTGACTGATATCATGAGCATCGATCTACGCAATTGGGATACGCTTGTTACGCGGAGGCCAGGGTTCGATTCTCCTCATGGGTTTGTTTGTTTGTTTGTGCTTAACGCCGCACTCCTGTATTCCAGCTGTATGACTGCGGTCAGTGAATAATACACAGTTGGGATACGATGACATGCAACAGCCAAGTCGGCGAGTCTGACCACCTGATCCTCTTACGACAAGCATAGTCACCTTTTAAGGACCTATACTACCCCGGATCTTTACGGGTATGAATGAACAGCGAATTGTCCTTGTAATGAGTGTGTGGGTTCTATATGATGACGGGGTGTCAGCTTCATGTGGGAGGGGGGGGGGGGGGGGGGGGGGGGGGCGGTCGGGTAGCCTAGTGGTTAAAGCGTTCGCTCGTCACGCCGAAGACCCGGGTTCGATTCCCGACATGGATACAATGTGTGAAGCCCATTTCTGGTGTCCCCCGCCGTGATATTGCTGGAATATTGCTAAAAGCGGCGTAAAACCATACTCACTCACTCCTTCACTCACTCATGTTGGAGGAAAACCCGATGTGATGCAGCCATCGCCCGAGGGAAACGTCCAGTTTCCACCCCTGCCGAACAAGGCTGGAGTTATGTTATGGCTGGACGAACGAGTCTATGCATAGTCCATTTTAAAATTCGTGACGATATCGACATCCGGTTCAGCATGGCAACTGCCGTGCTGAATTCGTTCGATTGCAGGATTTGCAGAACATGCGCACCGTCAACTGGGCGTCAACAGATATTTTAAAAATCTTTTAAAAATCAAGGTGCTCAGGCGATTTCATGCACTTCGTGAAAACCCGTTTTATTACAATAAAGATCTTTATTATTGATGAGATCGTCTTGACTGGGTGCCACCATTTTGTTTAAAGCTAATGCAAGTGATATCAGAGGTGGAATCTGATTGGTCAGTAGGGGGATCCCCCGAACATAGAAGGAACATAACTCGCAATAACCACTGGTGGCGCAACGATCGAACCCCGAAATTAGAGCCTAGTTCGGCAAAGGTGGAAACTTGACTTTTAAAGCAGTCGATTCCCTTGCCTAGGGAAGATGTAACATGAACCACTTTGGTGAACCCACAAACACCGGTATGGTTGCTGACAAACCAAGAAACATAACCCGGGCGAATCTGGAATTTGAATCCAGGGTTTCTGGTACGCTTAAGGGACGCAACTCTACACAGCCAATTGCGGGTTCTCAAACAACTAAGCCCCCAGGCCTTAGGCATATTCCTTGTAAATGTCAGGCTCGCTGACTTGGTTGATACATGTCATCGATCCCAATTGCGTGGATCGATGCTCATGATGTCAATCACTGGATTGTCTGGTCCAGACTCGATTATTTACAGACCGCCGTCATATAGCTGGAATATTTCTGAGTGTTGCGTTAAGCAACAAACCAACCAACCAACCTTGTAAATGTATAACGTTTGACAAAGGTTCAGTGCATTTCCATATACTGTGTCTTTGTGATTGTAAGGGTTCCACAAATTTGATTTGAACTCCACACAAGTCCCGATTAGTATTGCCTCCCTTACTTGTCAGGTCAACAGTATAAAGGCACTGTAAAGAGTTTTTCTATTCACAAGGTTTGAAAGTCGTGTACGACGTGACGATGCCTGTAGGTCAAAGGGTAATAGAGGTCAAGGTCAGATGCACCAACTGCTCCGTGCCCCATTACGTGGATCTCGAGGACACCGAGGTATACAAGATCATCATGCCTTCCTTCACTGCAAATGGTGGCGACGGATATGACGTCATCAACAAGAACAAGATCAAACATCATCTACTTGGTAAGCTTGCTACTGACATGCGCGTTACTAGGTCAACCTACGCGTGGGATGTATTCTCGCAGTGGTCCGCAAGTCTGCATGCCAGGCTTAACACAGCACTCCAAGGTTTCAGCAGCGGTACGACCGCTTTGTGCAAGATGTGTCCTTTTTGCCTGCCTGGAATGTCTATACCATAGGGGTCTGAAATTTTGATCCAAATTATGAAAGCCTTTGTATACTATGAAGAGATGAGATGGTGAGTGAGTTAGTTTTAACGCCGCTTTGATCAGTATACTAGTTATATCACGGCGTGTCAACTTAATGTCGGAGAAAAGCCCGAAGTGATGCAGGTCTCAGACGTTTACAATTTGGTGAAACCCACGAGCACGGGTATGGTACTTACAAACCTAGGAACATAATCGGGGCGAACTGGGATTCGAACCCACCACCATAGGTTTCTGGCGTGCTCTGCACAGCGAAATGCGACGCCTTAGACAGCTGGGCGCCCCGTACCCCCAGAAAAATGTATCGTCTTGTTCGACAAAACGAATTTTGTTCATAGTTTTACAAAAAAAGGCGTCCTGTGTGTTGCTTTGTGAACCTGATCCAAGAATCGCACGAGAGTCCAGGGACTATTTGCACAAAGCGATCCGAGCGCTACGTAGGTGTACGATAGTTAAAGTGCTAATGTCTTGTGCAAGGTGGCCCTGCTCGAGAGTGCACGTCCAGGAGCAATCCTCGTGCCCTGACTCTTTGGGACTAATTGACAGGACGGACAGGCAGCAGTGATTTTAGTTATACTGAGCTATCATTTCTTGTGTATGTGTTGTGTGAGCAGCATCTATTATCCCATCTGTAGTTTCAGCAGATGACGTTGTTGTTGTTGCAGGCGATGTGGATTCATACGTGCTCCTCGAGTACGTAAAAACTGTTTCCCCTCTCACCCACGGACTGGAAGGGCGTATCAGTTTCCGACAGACACCTTTGTGTAACTGCCCCGTCAGTAGTGACGTCACTCGCCCAACAACACATCTAGAGGCTGCGACGGCGACGGTGCTGCTCCTTGTCGTATCAACGTGTATACGTGGCACTGGTTTCTACTGACTGGTGTCTGAGTTTCTCCGGAGAATCAGTTTAGTGGTACTTAACATACAATGAAGCTGGTGGGAGCTAGTCTTCACAATAGTCTATGTCACTATATTCAAATAAAATATTTTTCTACAATTTCTAAACACGTCTTCACCTGATCATTTGGACAGGAAGGTATTATTAATGTATTGTTCGTGTATTATCAATATATTGTATTTAATCGCACGTTTCGGGGTGTTCACAATGGGATCTCTTATCCTCTACATCCATTTTGTAAACTCTCCTCTACATCCATTTTGTAAACTCTCCTCTACATCCATTTTGTAAACTCTCATGCGTGCCCTTGAACATGCTGAATGTCTGAGATGCTGCCTTATTTCACATTTTGAATAATATGCATGATATGTTTCACTTTGTCACAACCGGAACGTTGACATTTTAATCATATTGAGACGCATAGAAGCACTTAACTCCACTCCTCTCTTGAAGATTCCAGGTGTACATGTGTTTCATTGGATGAAGATGAAGATGAATGATTTTGAATTATTCTAAATTAATACAAGAAGAAAGCATTATTTGAATTTTGAATTCTTAACCTGTTAACCACAATGCACTGTTATAGCACAGAACTCAGAATCCCCTGTTATAGCGCCGTACCGCAATGCCCTGTTATATCACAGGTCCCACAATGCACTGTTATAGCTCCGGTCCCACAATGCCCTGTTATAGCAACGAACCCAGAATTCCTTGCTATGACAAGGTAGACACAATTTTATGGATAACAACTTCTTTAATACTGTAAAAAGCGACGTTTCGGCATAGATCCTTATACCGTTGTCAAGCATGAACATCAAGTCATTCATGCTAGACAACCTAGGATCATGCTAGGATCTATACCGAAACGTCGCTTTTTACAGTATTAAAGAAGCTGTTATCCATAAAATTGTGTCTACCTTGTCATCCGTCAACTTCTAACTAATGCCTATCAAACAATTTGTTCCTTCCTATGGCACCGGTCCCACAATGCCCCGTTATAGCACCAGTTCCACCGTTCCCGAACACAGAAGTCCTTATTACAGCACCGGTCCCGAAATACCCTGATATAACACCGGCCCCACAATTCTCTGTTATAGCACCGATTCCACAGTGCCCTGATATAGTACCGGCCCCACTGTGCCCTGTTCTAGCACCGGTCCCACACTGACCCGTTATAGCACCGATCCCGGAATGCCCTGTTATACGTCCGGTCCCACAATGCCTTGCTGCAGCACCGGTTCAACAGATAAAATTTAAAGTCACATCAGTAGTATTTCAGCCATATCGTGAATACAACAAATTATGTTTAAATAACAATTCAATATAGAATACATAAAACAACAAAGGACAGTAAAGTAAACAGATTTTCACAAATTTATATTAAAAACCGGTTGGGAAACATAAAAAGGAATCACAATACCTAACAATACATTATAAAAATGGGCTACAGATCACCAGGAACAAAGTGAGGCAACCTAACTATGGACCATGGGGACTCATAGTACTTCAGCTACCTGCATGGTCACCCAGCAGGATTTACACCATCCCTCTTGCTGCTGGCGATTGCCATCAAGTTTCGTCGAAACTTAAAACGATTACAATAGTAGCAGGAATAAACGGAATGAAGTGGCCTCACATGTCCTCTCAGTGTGACAATCATTTCACGCTACGTTTGACGATATATATCCACTAACAATCTCAGTTACAACTTAGACACTAGCTACTAATATTGTAAAATGTAAACTATGCACACAAATTGAAATTCTCAATCATATCAATTTCTTTCAAAAAGCCAAATATTAAATGAGACGGAACATTATTAGAAAGGTCCATAGTTGATGTTGCGCTGAAATATGTATCCGTTGTGATGGGAAACTCTAAACAGTCAAGCAGGATACGACTGACTGTGATTCTCTCGTCACAACGATACAGAACGAACGATACTCACCTTTCAATAAATATTCATGTTCATATCTGGAGTGGCCAATATGACATCGTCGCACAATGACCTCTTCAAATCTGGACTGACAACCCAAGTAGGTGTCACCAATAGTTGGTTTTATTGCATGTAATATACTACTCAAAAGAAGTTAAGGATACCTGATTCTTTCATATTACTATAGTTAATCTCTCATGTCATGACAGATTAACTTTACCATTATGAAAGAATCGGGTGATCCTTAACATCTTTTGAGTAGTATATATTTATACCTAATTGGGTGTCCCACTTCTTTTGCATTAGATATCTGATGTAACGTCTAGTCACAGGTTTATAATCAATGTATGGGAATCATACGTCACAGATTTGTTGAGCGCTGCTCTTGTTGCAGCGTCAGACATTGTGTTAGCAATGATTCCAACACGACTGGGTAACCAACAGTAGCACGATCATTATGTAGTTCTATTATTTCAAGACAAAGTGGAACATACTCATATTCACCTGAAGACAGAAAAGCGAATCAAAAACGGCAGGATATATTTTTATTCCAAGTGGTGGAATAAGTGATGCCTATTTAGTATTTATCGTACAAGTCCACATAAGGAGGATTATAACATAGGCGGGATTAAATTTATTTGTATATAGTTTTGCGATATATTTCACGGCCAGTTTCATGCGACGTTGTTTCAGAAAGGGCTCATCAGCTCATCAGATTATTAATGAGAGTTATGTTATTAAGTTATGAAGGCACCAAGGAAAGCCTCAGGCCTTTGTTACAATGGCGATATTTTTATTATTGATCATAGCATGCTCAACTGTTTCCTTCGCCTCCTGGCTTGTTTGCAGTCATCTTTAAAGCATGGTTTGCGTATATAGGGAATTGCAGATGACTTTGGATACATTCATCAGCTATTTCGTTTCGTTCATCAGAGAAACAGAGTTAAAGGTTCAGGAACATCCACAAAGAGACTTAAGTTTGTTTGTGCAGAGAAGTTCATATAAAGGTCAGATAGCCTTAGTAAACATCCATCATGATGATTTAGGAACATAAGATGGGATCACAGCTATAAGCATGAAAGGAAAATGGTCACTTCCATGGAGGTCGTGGTGCTTTGTTTGTTTGTTTGTTGTTTAACGCCGCACTCAGAAATATTCCAGCTTTATGGCGGCGGTCTGTAAATAATCGAGTCTGGACCCGACAATCCAGTATTTGACATTGTGAGCATCGATCCATGTTATTGGGAAGGTCGTGGTGCTATCAAAGAACGTTGCAGCGCTGCTTGCCGGAAGCAATACGCGACCTGTCGTAAGATGGGAACAGTTATGTTTGATATGCTACGCTTTTTGAGACCATTTGTCTATGATTCTCGCTTCATTGCTTTGTTTTGGTGATAATTGACTTGAAATACGCCGTCATAGGATCGCGATTTACGATAGTTCGTGTTGAGCAGTGAACAAAAATTCAAACCGGAATACATCCTTATAATCTTTGTACACTGAATTACATGGTACGGGACAGTGGCGAACGTTTTGTACCCATCATTGTGTGTTGGATAAGGGCATAACGTGCATGCGCGTGCATGTGTGCGGGCTTGCGTACGTACGTACGTGCGTACGTAGAATTTGACGGGTTAGAATAGGTCATGCTTGTCGTAAGAGGCGACTAATTGGATCAGGTGGTCAGGCTCGCTGACTTGGTTGATGTATGTCATTGCATGGATCGATGCTCATGATGTCAATCACTGGATTATCTGGTCCAGACTCGATTATTTACAGACCGCAGTCAATTTGCTCGAATATTGCTGAGTGGGGCGTTAAACAACAAACAAACAAACAATGCGGGTATATACAGATATATTCGTGTTAAGTATTGGTAAAATATGACTTATATACGGGTACAAAGTGTATGTTAGACACGTGCAGGTCTCAGACGAGCAACAAACCTAGAAACATAATTGGGGCGACCCGGGATTCGAACCCACAATCATAGGTTTCTGGCGTGCATAAGGGACGCAACTCTGCACAGCGAATTACGGCGTCTGAGACGACCTAACCACTCATGCCCCCAAAACATGTGGACGATATATGGGTGATATGGTAATTGTGGGTAAAAGAATGGGCAATATCTGCAGGGTCAACTTGTTCACAGTGTGCTGTGATCTATTCGGTTAACATGACTTGTGTGCATACACGGACGGAACGCGATATTGTTGATGAAATATTGCATGCAATAGTACAGTCAATATTCATCTAAAGGTCAAAGTGACCTGGGAATATTCAAATTTAGGTTGTATTTTTGGCCAGTGGATTAACGTGAGAAATATGAGCAGGTTATGGGTCCTATCTGTGTGAAAAAATCTTTACCGGGCGTGACTTATATATTGTTCACACACATATTTACATATATGTCAAATGTTATGTATAAGACCCACAAAAGTAAAATAAATAAATGTGGGAGTCAAGCAGTTGAGAGCAAAAATAAAAATGGAGGCTTGGTAACTGATGATTATGACGTCTACTGTCCAAGAAAGACTAGTGTATGAAACTGAGAGACATAAATGAACGATTTGATCGGCACTAGTGGATGAATATTCACTAATGGACATGGGATGGATACAGGCTGGGTTCCGTCTCTTGACAGGTAGATATCTCTTCCAAGCGCTGGCGACACAGGTTACCCTATACATAGTACATGTACGATGTAATATTGTCCCCTTCATTGTCAAGTGGTGTTATTTAGAGAGGCGGGTAGGATACGTGGGCGTGCATTAACTGGACTCTCTGTCACGCAACTTCATTTACGACTGTCAATAAATAATAACAGCAGAAAGTCCTGAATAAGTGCCACAATCTGTCTAGACAAGATTGAAAGACGCCATCATGACACGTTCACTATGTCGCCTTTCCCTGTACGTCATCCTTCTGCCTGCTCTAGTCGTCGGCTTCAACCTCACCATCCTCCACACCAACGACATCCACGCCAGATTCGAACAGACCAACAAGTTTGGTGGTGCTTGTCCAGCTGATGATGTGGCAGAGGGGAAATGTTTTGGTGGGACAGCGAGACTTGTGACCAAAGTCCGTGAACAGCGCTCCCTCCATCCCAACACCATCCTCCTGTCGGCAGGAGACGAGTTCTCGGGGACGTTGTGGTTCTACAAGTACGGCAGTGCCGTTGTGGCCAGATTCATGAACCTGTTGCAGTATGACGTCATGGTGAGTATATAGAGGATATTAGATGAGTGAAGGAAATATCGGAATTTAGCCACGAGTTTCGTAAACATGGTATGACATGAACACGAATATAACGAATATAATATATATCTATTTATTACGGAAGAAGATGTCTACAAAAAGAAACGAATTTTAGTGTTTACCTGTAAGGACAGCAAGTCGCAACATCAGCGGAACGACAATTTGTCGAATGAGGTCAATAAATCTTCAGTTCGTTTCTAGTGTGACGTCATTCCGACCTCACGTAACAATAAGATTCGAATGACTTCAACAATGTCGCCCGGATGACGGAACCAATACACTGTTGTCTCGTGACGTGATATGAGCCTAGGACGCATGTGCTTTTCATGAACCCCGATATGTTTGTCCTCGTAGGTAATAAATGAAACTATTGCAATATGACGTCATTGTGACTGTATGAACATGCTGCAATGCGACGTCATGGTGAATATATGATGACCATGTTTCAATGTTGCGGTATGGTCACTATATGAACATGTTGCACTGTGACGTCATGGTGAGTATACGAGCCTATTGCAATGTGACATCATGGTGAGTTTATGAACCTATTCCAATGTGACGTCATGGTGAGGATATGACCATCTTTTAATGTGACGTTCTGGGGAGTTCACATATCTATTTCAGTATATTATCATGGTGATTATATGTACCTTTTGCAATATTACGTCATGGTGAGTAAATGTACCTTTTGTAGTGTGACGTCATGGTGACGACATTAACCTGTTGCCATGTGACGTTATGCTAAGTAAACGTATCTATGCATCACGTCATCGTGCCGGGTCGTGTACAATTTATGCTTTATATCTGTAAGACTCTGGGAAATCACGAGTTTGACCTCGGCATCGAGGGGTTGATACCCTTCCTCAACGCCGTCAACTTCACCGTGGCCATCGCCAACATCGATGCTACAGGCGAGCCTTTGGTGGAAAACAAGCTGATGAAACATACAGTGTTGACGGTCGGGGATGAACGTATCGGGGTCATCGGGTACACTACCACAGAGACGCCGTTAGTCACGTCAACAGGTAAGACAGCATCTGTTAACGAACATGGCTGCGTTTGTGAGGGTCGCTCCCCTTCTTTATGCATATGAATCGGTAAATACTGTTCGCACTGGCAAAGGCAAAACAAGGTAATTTGGCCAAGAAGGCATCAATTCTGTTAATTCCTTCCTCATGCGTATGGATAGGAATTTCAACTAAAGCTTCAGGTATATCGATGATCTGATATCGTTCAATAACGATCGAATAGCCAATTCCCTTCCACTGATTTACCCACCTGAACTAGAAATAAAGGAGACCAGTCAGACCGCCTCATCTGTTTCATATTTAGATCTATGTATAAAGATTCAAAGTGACAAAACACTCTCCACCAGACTGTATGACAAGAGGGATGACTTCAACTTTCCAATAGTCAACTTTCCCTTCATGTCGAGCAATATTCCAGCAGCTCCAGCCTTTGGTGTTTACATTTCACAACTTTTGAGTTGCAATCGTGCATGCTCTTTCTTCCAAGATTTCAAAGAGCATCATAATACTCCTGCTCAGAAGTTGTTTGTTCAAGGTTACAACATTCAAGGCCTACGTAAAGCTTTCAAAAAGTTTTATGGTAGACATGTGGAGGACATATCCAAATTTGACGCATCAGTGACCAAAATGTACCATATGTTGCCCTGTTTTTTTTTAAGTGAACAATTGACTTGTCTTTGCATGTGTTTGTGACGGGTGCCACCGGTGGGTCAGGATACTGTCCCCTTCTCGCGAACACCTGGTATCATTAAATGATAGTGATGCATAAACACACGCTCATGATACAGTCGGAATTGTACACTCGACTCTACTTAATGCAGAGATTTCTATTGGATATGGAAAGGGTTTTGTCACTTTATGTAACAATATTCTGGCGGAGGACACCAGAGATTAGCTTCATTAAATGTACCCATGTTTGGAATCGAACCTAACCTTTCGACGTGATGAGTAACCACAAGGCTACCCCCATCGCCATTGACTGAATTTAATTTTATATTATATAAGGGTTTTGATAGAAGATATTTACTAAATGCAGATATCATAGAGGTTATTTTCTGCACGTAGATAGAGGGAATGAATATTTTCCCCCAACTCAGAATTAGGGCATAAAGTACTTTTATTCATTGGATCTTTTCAGTTATGTACTCTGGATGAGAACTAACTGATGACACCCATTTTGGGGCATTTTAAAATATTCAAGATTGCCACCGAAACATATTGTACGTGTACAATTATACAATCTGATGCTTAACTTGCGCACTTTAAATTAATCTTTGTGGAGTCAGACAGCATTTCATGTACCTTAAATAAAATAAGATAGAAAATAAACAACAACAATAAATAGAACTACAAAATTGGTGCCAGTGCTTGGATGTCAAGTTCTTTCTTTGAAACAGTCATCTTTAATTCCTTTCTTTTTACCCAATTACATTTCGCGCATGAATTCTTAAAATTATTTAACACATTTAAGCACGACCATGTATTTGTATAACATGCATGCAGGGTTTTAATTTATTTGTACCATCAATTTTACCTCTTATCATTATGAGCTTTATTATTTTCTTATGGTTTCATTTCAACCAGCACAGTGAATGTATCTTATTTTTGTATCTAAATTACATTGATTTTCCTTAGAAAACCCACAGGCATCTCCGTTTTCACTGAATTACATAGTAACAAATGTATATATACTGATTTTTTTACACATGTTGCTTATTATTTTGCTCAATAGCATTTCCAAATGAATCTAGTTAATTGAGAAAAACATATTCCAATATGCTGAGGGCAACATAATTGTGATTTGCACCAAAAGTAGTCACATAGGCAATTAAATTGGCAAGGAAGACATGTTTCAGGTTGCGGCGGCCATCTTGGCGGCCATCTTGAATATTTTAAAATGCCGAAAGATGACAGCGTGTCATCAGTCAGTTTCACAACCTAGAATGTGTGCTTAAACAAGTACAGCAATAAAAAACCCACTTTATCCCCAAATTCTAGGGGTTTGTCCTTTCTGACGAACAAAACTACCTGTAAGGATAAAAGAATGTATTTATAGATGACATATACTGCATGCAGAGATTATGTAAAATGAGATTTACTGCATTTAAAGATTATATAGATTTATTGCATGCGGAGATTATATAAAAGATTTACTACATGTAGAGATTATATTAACGAAAAGTTACTGCATGCGGAGATTATAGAAAGGGAGAATACATATATAAAAAGAGGGCATTTACTGGGGCACTGTCTGAGGCACATTGTTGACAGATGGCGTAGGCTGTGAAACAAGAACAGCAAGAGTACCTAACGCTCTCACTACACTATGTAAAATGACTTCCCAGACAAATAAATTATGTTGTAGGTAAAAACCTCAAATTTGAAGATGAGGTTGTAGCAGTCCAGAGAGAGGTGGACTCCCTGACGTCACAGGGCATCAACAAGATCATCGCTCTCGGTCACTCGGGTTTCACTATTGACAAAAGAATAGCAGCAGAGGTCAATAACCTGGATGTGGTGGTCGGGGGTCACACCAATACCTTCCTCTACACAGGTGAAAAAAACCTATAGATATCTATAGCAACGTGCACATCCTCATCAAGCACATCTGTCGTCCTCTATATCTCCCTCTATATCCCCAGCGCTCGCATTATTAAGCCTTCACTAATTCCTGGATCCATTCGGACCCTGGTTCTCGCGGTTTCAAATTACCCGCTCTAGACGTTCTTAACATTTTACCGACCAATGTAAACGTCGAGATAAGAAAAAGGGAAATGGGAAAGGGAGGTAGACATCAAGACATCCTTGCCATCAAAAGGATTGTTGAGGGCTTTCCATTGCGTGTCAGTAAGGATCCCGTGGTTAGTGCAGATTTACCGACATGTGAGCCCTGGTATGTCGAGCATGACACAACTGTATGCGCATCAACGCGCACATTTTTAAAGCTACACTAGTATTACCCGGTCACAACAGTGTGCACTCGACTTCATTCTCAGCTCTCTGTTGAGTCAACAACCTAACCTGTCTGTGAGGCGCAAGAAGGTTAACATCCACATTACCGTCTCATCCTACCGGGTACCCATTCCCATCTGGATGAAAAGAGGCATATTTTACAAAGTAAAATGCCTAAAGAGACACCACGTGTGTTACATGTGCTTCAATCCTGTTGGGACTCCAGGTTATATTAGGTCCTCAGCAACCTATGCTTGTCGTACAACGCGACCTTAGGGATGAGGTGGTCTGGGTATCTGTGACACGAGGACGTGGATAGCTGGCCATAATACAGTAAACTACGTTTAACGAACACGCTTATAACGAACTGGGGGATATAACGAAGTTATTTTTTTGTCCTGACCATGTGCCGTATATATACTGCAAATATGCTAATAACGAACTACGGTTATTACTGCAACTATCAATGGTTTGTCTGGTACAGAATCGATTATTTACAGGCCCCAGTCATTTAGCTGGAATACTGTTGACAACACAAACAAAACAACAATTCTCGTTGGCGTGCCCATGAGGGGAATCGAACCCAGGCCTACGCGTAACAAGCGATCGCCTACACCACCGTCCCTTTGTTATAGTCCTATTCCGGAACTGACTGCTGAAATAAAACCTGAACGTTTGCAAAGAAATCTCGCCTCCTTAACTCGAAGGAAATGCCCTCACATATATAGTCCTTCCCAAGGTACTTTGACTCGAGTCTGCAACTATTTTCTTTATCCAGCCAACTTTCCAATGAGATTTCCATACTGTCTTAGGCCAGCCACCGTCCAGTGAGAAGCCGAAGGGAGAGTATCCCCACGTGGTGACCCAGTCGGGAGGGGCCAAGGTGCTCGTGGTGCAAGACTATTGCTACGGGAAATATCTTGGTGCTTTGGAAGTGACATTTGACCCGGATGGTGTCATCACGTCATGGGGAGGCAACCCAATCCTACTAGACAACAACACGGCGCAAGGTTGGTTTTGGCGTAGGACTACAGTTCCAAACTGTGGAACTTTATCTGTACTTAAGTTATTTTTAACAAATCAGATTTAGTCTTGGAAGAGTTTTGTCCCTTTTATTTACACCTGTCGGAAGAGACCAACAAATGAGATTATTGTCTCCCTTTTTGTCTTCTAGATGAGATGACCCTAGAGCTGATGCAGCCATACAAGGAGGGCGTGGCTAACGAGTCAGGCACGGTGGTGGCCAGAAGCTATGTGATGCTTGACGGAGGGAAATCATCATGTAGGCTCAAAGAGTGCAGTCTTGGTAGGACGTTATGGAAGAGCGCATTTGAATCCTCACGTAATGATTATCTTAGAGTGAGTGAGTTTAACACCGTTCTTAACAGTATTCCAGTAATATCACGGCGTGTCAGCTTAATGTGGGAGGAAAGCCCGAAGTGATGCAGGTCTCAGACATTTACCACTTCAGTGAAATTCACGAGCACGGGAATGGTGCTGACAAACCTAGAAACATAATTGGGGCGAACCGGGATTCGAACCCACAATCATAGGTTTCTGGTATGCCCAAGGGACGCAACTCTGCACAGCGAATCGCGGCGCCTTAGACGACTGGGCCACCCATGCCCTTGATTATCTAAGATGAGTAAATATATCCTAGTTGCGCAGTATTGTTTGATTTTCTTTTCCGCTCCGTGACCTTCTTCTATTTACCTTACTTCACCAAGTTCCACCCTTTATTCAATCCCTCACCATTACAACCAGTCAATTCGTCAATCTTTAATCCAGCTCTCATCGCCTGACGTCGGCTCCTCAACTATTATGGTCATTCAGTTCAAAGTTTAACACCTTCGCACACACCCACAGCTACCTCGCTCTCCGACTCTCGAGTCACCCGATCCCCACCAATGTCAATACCCCAACCCTTTCGCTACGTCTTTAGCGTAATCCACTTAACACCAGTATCTAATCCACCCATAGCCACGACTGTGGTCTTACGATTCATCCGCCCTTACCTCACCACCACTCATCTTCCCAGCCCATACAGATCCTACAACAGTTTCAAAACCTGCTTCGTTGTTTCCTAGGTAACATGATTACGGATGCAATGGTGCACCAGAACCTGAAGCAAAGCGACTCCTTGGAATGGAGCCACGTGGCCATTGCCTTCATGCACGGAGGCGGCATCCGAGCGTCCATCCCTCCAGGTACTGCTGTAGCCAGGTGAACTTCGACGGTACTCCACCTACCCAGCCAGACCTGTATCACTTTTTATGAAATTTATAGACAAGTATAGCAATAACAAAGCAAACGGAACAATAGTGAGTCTACAAGGACTTTAATCAAAATAAAAAAACATGTTCAGCGACAGCGATTCGTCACAGTTTAGCCAAATTGAATATAAAATAATGTCAATGGAAGAGAGTAACCAGTCTTGATTATCCACCGAAACAGATTTCATCTGGCGCAACAGGCAAAATGACTGTGAATGAACCATATGAATGGACCACTGAAAATCAGTAATGACACGCTCCAGAAGAGCTTAAGACACGTTAAAGAAAAAGGCTGATACTTTGGTTTGAAGCGCAGTTATTCAACGTGCAGGTGACGTCACAATGGGAGACTTGCAAACCGTGCTGCCATACCGGAACACCGTGGACATCGTGGAACTGCGTGGGAAACATGTCCGGGAGACTCTGGAGTTCACGGCGTCCAAGTGGGTCAACACGGGGAGATTGTTCTGGGGGTTCCTCCAGGTGTCAGGTACGTCCAGGTGTCAGGTACGTCCAGGTGTCAGGTCCGTCCAGGTGTGTGTTGACAGAGGTAATACGTAACCGCATGCCAGACTGAGCGTTACACATACGGCAATAGCCGCGATACATCAGATATTCCGGTAGTTCCTTCAGCTGCAGACGCTTCAACACTGTGAGAGGCGAAAGTGTTGGAACACCATATGTCATACACATCAGATATACTGGGGGTTCCTGCGTCAACAATGCACATCAGTAATGTACGGTGGGTGACATGTTCTTATGGCGGTGTAAAGGAATTCTCTCTGACTTGAGACATTTAATCGTACCGTAAATCAAATTCTTCTCACCAGGAATGAAAATCGTGTACGATATGCAGATGCCTGTCGGTCAAAGAGTGATAGCGGTCAAGGTCACATGCACTAACTGTTCCGTGCCCCATTACGTGGATCTCGAAGATACCGAGGTATACAAGATCCTCATGCCCTCCTTCTTGTCAAACGGCGGAAGCGGATATGACGTCATCAATGACAACAAGGTTCGCCAACATCAGATAGGTAAGATTTGTCGCCCGTTAAATAAGATTCATTGGTGAATCAGATGACTTAATTAGTGACCATCTTTGTTGCCAGTAGTGTCTCTGTGGCGCATGTTGGTATTATGTAGTCTGATGTTGTTGTTGATGTTGCTGGTGCTGTTGATGTTACAGGAGATCTGGACGCCGACGTCTTGATTGAGTACGCAAGGCGGGTCTCGCTCCTGACCAACGTGATAGAGGGAAGGATCAGTTTCCAGGAGACTCCGTTGTGCCCTTATCGCGTCAGTAGTGACGTCTCCCGTCCCGCACTACAACTCTTCACATCGATGACGTCTGTCGTACTCGTATTGTTTTATTCCCGCAGTCTGTGTGTTGGCATCGGTGAAAGCAGTGTTTGAAGCTCGTGATGGATTTTGCATCATAGAAATGTGTACTGTCACACTTTGATCACACCATTAAAGAAACATGTCAGTTTACTTGTGTTGTTATGCTAACTATGTATTTGTAGTTTGTAGTGTCATTGAGTGAGTGGGTGGTTTAGTGGGACGGTCAGAGGATGGGTCAGTGGGTGGTTTGAGTGGGTTGGTGGGTAAGTAAGTGTGTGTGTGGTTTGAGGGAGTTAGTGAGTTAGTCAGTCATGGAGTGAGTGAGTGAATATCATTTTACGCCGCTTTTAGCAATATTCCTGCAATATCTCGGCGGGGACACCAGAAATGGGCTTCACACATTGTACCCATTTCGGGAATCGAACCCGGATCTTCAGCGTGACGAGCGAACGCTTTCCCCACTAGGCTACCCGACCGCCCGAGTCAGTCATAGAGCCTGGTCCCCTAATCCAATTCAGTCGGTACTTACGACCCGCAACAGAGTGATGGAGGCCTATACTAACGCCAGTAAGTTTGTTAATGTTAGTAAACGTCGCACCAAGCAACACGCAATTGGGATACGATGACATGCATCAACCAGGTCAGCGAGCCTGACCACCCGATCCTGTGAGTCGACTCTTACGACAAGCATAGTCGCCATTTACGGTTGCTGAAGACCTATTCTACCCCGGATCTTCACGGGAGCCGATAACTGTGAAATGTGGCGTTAAGACGTCTAGGCAAGAAGTGGGCATCCCCATGGGCACCAATTCTGTTGATTCCTCCCTTAAGCTTCAGGTATATCGATGCTCTGATATCGTTCAATAACGGCCAAACAGCCACTTCCCTTCCACTGATTTACCCACCTCAACTAGAAATACAGCAGACATGGGAGCCTCATCTGTTTCATATTTAGATCTATGCATAAAGCTTCGGAGTGACAAAACGCCCTCTACATAACTGAGAAAAGAGGGATGACTTAAACCTTCCAATAGTCAACTTTCCCTTTATGTCGACCAATAGTCTAACAGCTCCAACCTTTCGTGTCTACATTTTACAACTTTTGACGTACAATAGAGCATGCTCTATTTACGAAGGTTTTAAAGAGTGTCACACAACAGAAGTTGTTCGATCAAGGTTACAACATTCAAGGACTTGTATCGTAAACATATGGACGACATTTCCAAATTTGACGCATCAGTGACAAAAATTGTAGCCAGTCGACCTGCAACGCAAAAGCCAACTGCTGCAACGTTTTGGGTTGTGGTTGACATCGGCGTCGCCGTCTATCAATTTCATCCCACAGGTGCTCTATCGGGTTCAAAACCGGGGATCTGGAGGGCCAGGGTAGAACATCAACGTTGTTGTTGTGTAGACAGACTCTTGTGATCTGTGCTGTATGTGGTCGAGCGTTGTCCTGCTGGGACACACCGTTGCCATTGGCTGCAATTGGGAGGACGTGTGGTAGGAGAATTTCGCTGATGTATGGTTCTCAAGTGAGAACCTTTATTGATGTCCGTGGTAGGCACAATTTGTGACAATCATGCCAGCAGGACTAAATAGTTAAACCTACCTATTGTGCCCCTTTTCCCGTTATTTCCTTTGTCTGTTCATGTAAAAGTGTGTATTTTGGCAATTCACACTTTCATTTCTCAACTGTCTTGTCTCCTTTTTCATTGATCGTCATATCTTGCTTCGCATGGTTTCTTTTGCCCGTGAGTGTATATCTGGATAGTGATCAGAGTGTTCTGGATTAATCAGAATTGTTTAGGCCAATAATACATACAGCCACATCTTGAACTTGTGTTTATTGCAGGAAATGACGTATCACAGAGTTACCATTGCAATTACTAAGGACATAATCAACTAGTGAGTGAGTACAGACCATTAACACAACCCACATCGTGCCAAGTTGACAATACAGGGGAAACAACTCAGTAGCTCGGTCACAAATCGCCCTGATATCTCCTGCTACTGCAACAGATATGATTTCACTTCGGAAAATGATAAATTAGATAATTATCATATTTGACACATTCCCGTGAAGATCCGGACTAGAATTGGTCTTCAGCAACTAATGCTTGCAGTAAGAAGCGACTAATGACATCTGGTGGTCCTACTCGCTGACCGGGCATTGCATCACAGCTTATGGTTTTGACTGTACCATCCACATGCACATCCACTCTACACAACCCAGTCACATCTGGTGATGGTGACTCACATCCACTCTACACAACCCAGGCACATCTGGTGATGGTGACTCACATCCACTCTACACAACCCAGGCACATCTCGAGATGGTGACACACATTCACTCTACACAACCCAGTCACATCTGGTGATGGTGACTCACATCCACTCTACACAACCCAGTCACATCTGGTGATGGTGACTCACATCCACTCTACACAACCCAGTCACATCTCGAGATGGTGACACACATTCACTCTACACAACCCAGTCACATCTGGTAATGGTGACACACATACACTCTACACAACCCAGTCACATCTGGTGATGGTGACACACATTCACTCTACACAACCCAGTCACATCTGGTGATGCAGACACACATCCACTCTACACAACCCAGTCACATCTCGAGATGGTGACACACATCTATCATGATGTACGAATTAATTAGCACTTTGAACTTGACGCATTATTACTATGACGCCATGGCCTCAGTGGTGTAATGACAGAGTGTCTTTCCGGAGAGCGGAAGCTCAGAGGTTCGATCCCCGGCCACCAAAAGACGTCAAAAGATTGTACATGTTGTTAAACACCATTTCCATTGACTCATTCCTATCGGGATTGCCCCGTTTTACTCATTCCTATCGGGATTGCCCCGTTTTACTCATTCCTATCGGGATTGCCCCGTTTTACTCATTCCTATCGGGATTGCCCCGTTTTACTGTAACGCTCGCCAGATTGTTCCTCGGATGGCTGTGACCATGTCGTCTGCTGGCGCAGGGGTCCCGGATGTAGGAAGCTTCATCAAGTGAGTCGGCGGGTGGGTGTGTCGTGGCTTCACCATCGGATGGGTGTATCGTGGCTTCACCATCGGGTGGGTGTGTCGTGGCTTCACCATCGGATGGGTGTATCGTGGCTTCACCATCGGGTGGGTGTGTCGTGGCTTCACCATCGGGTGGGTGTATCGTGGCTTCACCATCGGGTGGGTGTGTCGTGGCTTCACCATCGGGTGGGTGTGTCGTGGCTTCACCATCGGGGGGGGTGTATCGTGGCTTCACCATCGGGTGGGTGTATCGTGGCTTCACCATCGGGTGGGTGTGTCGTGGCTTCACCATCGGGTGGGTGTATCGTGGCTTCACCATCGGGTGGGTGTGACCATGTCGGCGGGTGGGTGTATCGTGGCTTCACCATCGGGTGGGTGTATCGTGGCTTCACCATCGGGTGGGTGTATCGTGGCTTCACCATCCGGTGGGTGTATCGTGGCTTCACCATCGGATGGGTGTGTCGTGGCTTCACCATCGGGTGGCTGTGACCATGTCGGCGGGTGGGTGTATCGTGGCTTCACCATCGGGTGGGTGTGTCGTGGCTTCACCATCGGGTGGGTGTATCGTGGCTTCACCATCGGGTGGCTGTGACCATGTCGGCGGGTGGGTGTGTCGTGGCTTCACCATCGGGTGGGTGTGACCATATCGGCGGGTGGGTGTATCGTGGGTACACCATCGGGTGGGTGTTTTTTTCCCAGTCGTATTTTTAAGGCACGTGTTTCGCCACCAGCGTGACGTATGTAAGATAACAATTGTCACCTTTGTCTCGATGCTCTTTCACACACTCTCCTAGCACCCCCCTGACGTGTCTTACACTCTGTAGAGTCTGGACAGACACAGACACATGTTCTTTCACACACTCTCCTAGCACCCTCCTGGCGTGTCTTACACTCTGTAGAGTCTGGACAGACACAGACACATGTTCTTTCACACACTCTCCTAGCACCCTCCTCGCGTGTCTTACACCCTGTAGAGTCTGGACAGACACAGACACATGTTCTTTCACACACTCTCCTAGCACCCTCCTCGCGTATCTTACACTCTGTAGAGTCTGGACAGACACAGACACATGTACTTTCACACACTCTCCTAGCACCCTCCTCGCGTGTCTTACACTCTGTAGAGTCTGGACAGACACAGACACATGTACTTTCACACACTCTCCTAGCACCCTCCTGGCGTGTCTTACACTCTGTAGAGTCTGGACAGACACAGACACATGTACTTTCACACACTCTCCTAGCACCCTCCTGGCGTGTCTTACACTCTGTAGAGTCAGGACAGACACAGACACATGTACTTTCACACACTCTCCTAGCACCCTCCTGACGTATCTTACACTCTGTAGAGTCTGGACAGACACAGACACATGTTCTTTCACACACTCTCCTAGCACCCTCCTCGCGTGTCTTACACCCTGTCGAGTCTGGACAGACACATGTTCTTTCACACACTCTCCTAGCACCCTCCTGGCGTGTCTTACACCCTGTAGAGTCTGGACAGACACAGACACATGTACTTTCACACACTCTCCCAGCACCCTCCTCGCGTGTCTTACACTCTGTAGAGTCTAGACAGACACAGACACATGTACTTTCACACACTCTCCTAGCACCCTCCTGACGTGTCTTACACCCTGTAGAGTCTGGACAGACACAGACACATGTACTTTCACACACTCTCCTAGCACCCTCCTCGCGTGTCTTACACTCTGTAGAGTTTGGACAGACACAGACACATGTACTTTCACACACTCTCCTAGCACCCTCCTGGCGTGTCTTACACTCTGTAGAGTCTGGACAGACACAGACACATGTACTTTCACACACTCTCCTAGCACCCTCCTCGCGTGTCTTACACTCTGTAGAGTCTGGACAGACACAGACACATGTACTTTCACACACTCTCCTAGCACCCTCCTCGCGTGTCTTACACTCTGTAGAGTCTGGACAGACACAGACACATGTTCTTTCACACACTCTCCTAGCACCCTCCTGGCGTGTCTTACACCCTGTAGAGTCTGGACAGACACAGACACATGTACTTTCACACACTCTCCTAGCACCCTCCTGACGTGTCTTACACTCTGTAG